GCGCCAAGTTTCTGAACCATATAGCGGCACTGACTTAACTGGATTGGTGTTAAAAACCCGCATCTTGTTCTTTGTGCTGAGTGCAGGAGATCTTCACACTGGTTTCAGATTAATGAAAGCCTGTCTTGCTATCTTTCCGATCCTGGTTTTGACATCCTCGTTTGTGCCGTCTGTAGTTGAAACGATGCTACCTAGGCAGGTAGGTGAAAGAGACTACTTCTCCCGTTGATGGCGATGGGAGCTTTTTGTTGTTGTTGTTGTTTGGGTATCTTCATCACTTCTGTCTTCTCTACATTCACTTGAAGTCCCGTCTTCGCTGCCTCTTCTGACAACTTGTTAGTTTTCGCCTGTAGATCTTCGAGTTTGTGCTACATGACATTAGACATAAACTATCTTCGGTGGCGAAATCCAAATCTTTTAGGCTGTTTTCATCGGTCCAACCAGCGTATACCCATCTTCTCGCCCCTCACGGTTTGCTGCATGATCCAGTCCACCACAATCAGGAAGATCATGGGTGATAGTAGGCGGCAGCCTTGTTTTACTCCCGTCTTCACTTCAAACTCATCACTGAGCTTTCCATTGTGGATTACTAGGCATGTGGCGTCTTCATTTAGCTGTTGAGTGAGGTTGATAAAGGTTTGTGGCACTAAAACTGTAGTGTTGAAGCAACTGCCGAATTACTTCTCGGTCGACACTGTCGAAGACTTTTTCGAAGTGGATGAAGTTGAGGTAAAGATCTAGTTGACTGCCATTCTATACTATGTTTTATGATGATGTGTAGTGTTGCAGTTCGATCCACACATGATTTGTTCTTCGTGAATCCAACCAACCTGTTCCGGTACTAATTTTGAATTCAGCGCATCCTTTTGTCTCTCCATGATGTGACATAATATTTTGCTTGGGGTGGACAAAGGTTGAGCATGAATTCTCGCCTGTTCTTGCAAAGGCTTGGGTCTCCCTTCTTTGGGACATGGTACCCCTTCTTCCAATCGCCAGGTACCTTCTCTTCCTTCTTTCCAAACCTTCTGCAGTAGTGGTGTGAGCATGTGTGCTGTCGTCACTGCGTCTGCTTTCAATGCTTCTGGCGAAATTCCATCTGATCCTGCTGCTTCTCTGCATTTCAGTAGCTTTATGGCGTTCAGGACTTCAACTTTCATGGCAGGGCTTGTGTTCATTGGTAGTTCTGCCGCTGCAGGTGGTATTTCTGAACGAGTTGCAGGTGATGGTCGATTCAACGAGTTTCTGAAGTGATCCGCCCATCGTTTTCTTTGTCTTTCCTCTTTGGTAATTAGGTTTCCTTCACCATCTTTCATTGATTTCGTCTGAGTCGATCTCTTCTCACCCAGTTAGTAACCTGGTTATTTGATAAAATGTTGTCAGGTCTCTCCTACCAACAGCCTGTTCAGCTTCACTTGCCAATGTGTCGCAGAAGTGTCTTTTGTCTTTGCGCGCAATCTTTTTCACTTATTTGTCCCATGTAATGTTGTATACGTTGTATTCAGTTCTTCTTTTCGTTATGTATCCTTGCACTGGTTTATCTTCTGCTTCAACATCTTTATCATTTTTCATGTGTCCGTCGAGATCCATTTTTTGTCCTGTTCTCTCTTCCTTCCTAATACAGTTATGCAGGTTTCTCTCCACATAGCTTTCAAAGAGTTCCAGTGTTCTTCCACGCATGATCCTTTAGGGATGTTGCTCAACGTCTCCCATTTTGTCTTGATGGTTGTCGTGAAGATGTCCTTTGTAGTTTCCTGCTTTACTTTCCGTTCTGGGTGTTGGACTTCAGCTATGGTCTATCACCAACTTCTCTAAGGGCTTTCAACTCGATTGTGAAGGTCGGTTCTTTGCAGTAGACAGTGAGTGATGTGGGCCTACTTCTGCACCCCTTCATGATCTTGTGTCCAACAGACTGCGTCTTCACTTTCTGAGTTTGAGGTGAAGTCGATCTGATATTCACTTTATCAATCTGGTAAAATCAAATCCATGTCACTTTGTGAATATTCTTGTGTTTGTACACACTGTCTAAAATCACCAAATCGTTGAACGCGTGGAAATCAGCGAACAGTTCTCCTTTCTCATTCATTTCACCGAGTGCTTCTCGACGCATGATTGGTTCTCTTCCTGTGTTTTCCGCTCCGAGTTATGCATTCATGTTGTCCCACACATTAGAATTTTGATGTCACCGACTGGAGTCTTGTCCAGTACTGGCTGATTGCAGTTGTCTATAGAATCCCTTCTTCTTCTCTTCATCTGCATTATTTGTTGGCGTGTAGCATTGAATGATTGTGACTTTCCTTGCTTTTGAGTTGAATCTTACTGTCATGATCCTGGAGGAGGAGGAGGAGGAGATTGGTTCCCACTGCATGAGAGAGGACCTTCGATGCTCTTGGGATGGGGACATCATAATAGTCACTCCAGAACTCAGTGTGCTCGTTGTTGTTGTCTGGGTGACAATATCGGAGTAGATTATTAACTCTCCATTTGAGAGTTTGAAGAGTCCACTTCAAACCCATCTGCTTTCTCAGATTCCTAGCACTTCCATGCCATACTTCCTCATCTCTTTTGCAATCTGGGTAGCCTTGGTAGGTTCTTACATGGTGAGAATATTGTATGTCCCCACGTTTACTTTCGCTTTTATTGGGAGAAGAGAAGACACATCGGCCAATTGGCTTCCCGAAGGCTTTCATTGACTGGCGTCATTTCGCCCCTCCGACTCCAGCGAGGAATGTTTGTTTTCATTTTAGTGTTTTCTTTGTGCGTTGAAGTTTCTTTAGCGATTGGATTGGTTTTCCGGTGTAGAGTTGCTGGTCATACGCCCTACTTTCCCTCTTTACCCGCGTTATTACCGGCTAGCAACTAGTGAACTAGTTAACCAGGCGAGGATACGTTTTGCGTGTCTCTAATCCTCATTTCAGTTGATGTGCAGCTTCTAAGTAGATCTTTAAAATGCGCCCAATGGCATTCTTTCAACCTTTTTATTTATTTACTTATTCAGTCATACTTTCTTTCTATATCTGTGATACGTTTTGTGACTGGATGTTTCTAATTCTTGTTAATAACTTGGAAGTGTCAAGAGATTTATCTTATTTCCGTCAATTTGTTTGTTTGATAAGGTTTTACTTGTTTTCCTTTATATTTCCGAAGTGGGAAATAATGGTACAGAAGACATTGATAAGTCATAGTACTAAACGAACAACGAATATTTCCTAAGTACTTCGTGTTCTATTCGGTCACGGAAATATCACAGACTGGCCTGGGACTGAGGGAACAATTTTTAAAGCGTATATATATATATATATATATATATATATATATATATGTATATATATATATATATATATATATATATATATAGACGGCACTCAGGCAGTCAGCATCAACGTAAGACCTCAAGTTTTTAGTTAACAGTTCATGTCACATCCCATATCAACACATCAAGTGAGAAGGTCGGAAGATGAAAAACAAGGCAAGAAAATAATTAAAATAGTGGAAAAAGAAGAAGTCAGACAGTTAGGAAATTTGGCATAGCATTCAAGGTAACGATAAACTGCCCCGTTAAGATCAATTTTGAACCATAATACATAGGTTCTGAAGTCACTGATTTTGGTTGTCACACGGATCTCATCACGTTAGGCTATATTTTGATACACGGCTGAAACCGACAGTCAGAGACTTAATGAACAGATTCCATATTTTAGTCTAGGTGTCTTTCATCATTTTCCAATCCAAAGCTATTTCAGCTAACAGTATTACGGTGTAGATGGTTGCTAAGCATGCTTTGCACATGTTCCAGCTGTGTGCGTCGATGATGGTTCAAAAAGTCACCGACTGAATTTTCTCTTCTACCTAAGGCTCTACGCCTGACGTCTGTGTTACTGAGGTAGTGGAGACATGAAACATGGACTGTGCTACACAGATAACAGTGCTTGAATAGTTAAACTCTTTTCATGTCTTCTATGATTCATAAGCATGGTTCACAGACATGTAGTAGAACAGAGCTAACTGTAGTGCAGTACACTTGATACCTAGTAAGCGATTGGATGCTACAATGCTGTCATAGTTGGCGAGCCTTTCGTACCTGTGTAAAGATTTTGTGAGTCACTGACCCACCATGGTTGATGCGATTTCTAAAGTAGGTGAAGTGGTGGACGTGCTCAAATATACTCCGTGTTGTAAGATGGAGCGCAAAAGTAGATGACTCCTGTAGAAAGAATTTGCATTTTAGTGGTGATAAAACGTATCCCATTCATTCTCGTATAGCCAGTCAGTGCATTCAGAAGGCTCTGCATTAAGTTAGCATCTTCACTCAACTGGACTATATCATATGTGTACTCTGAGTGTACTAAGGAGTTATTCCCTGTAAAGTATAACATGGAAAGTAAGACCTCTATAAGCGCATCTATGACAACGTTTAGCAAGAATGGAGATAATGACAGACATGAATCAACTAACAAAACTTACCTAATACTTCACAATAGGCTGTAATATCCCCACGCATCTTCGAATCCATCATCTTCAACAAGTGACTGGATATCCCTCTCATTACGAGATACTACCTCAGAACTTCTCGAGCAGTGCTCTTTCTGCCTTAGTACCTAATGCTCTACGTAGACCTAAAATACTGCGCTACCTGGCTGAACCATCTTCAGGATCCCGAAGGCTCATCAAATTTGATCCGTAAGGTTAAGTGAATAACAGCACTTGGATCCTATATGCGTGTCTCTCGAATTAGCATACATCCATAACCTGAGACGCTAGTGTTTTCGCTGATGGAAATTGTTAGCTGCTTTTATGGGGGCTGCTGACATTGAAAGTTGCAGTTTGTTTGGAGCGCAGTTTCAGGAGACAAAGTATAGTTTTTCACGAACTGCAATCATCATCACTGTAAGAAATCAGTGATGTAAGAATATTGGCGTATGATTATAATGCGAAGATGTTGAAGGTTGAAAATGGTGTGAGGAAAATTGAGTGGTGGAGAGTTGTGAGGGTAGTTGACAATTCCAGGTTATCCACAGTATGGGAAATTGTTTTTTCTTGATGTACCTGAGAGAGAAGTTGCATTAATAATTGTGCCACGTGACGATAGAGTCTGTTGGACTTCTACTTGATGCCGGTTATATAGGGCCTTTTTGGAATTTTGAGGTTTAGCTTCAGTCGACCTCAATTCAGCTAGAAAATCAATATTACGGGCACGGAATACCGTTTCATAAGGCAGAGTCTTCTTTCTTTGGCCGTTCTTTTCTGACCGACCTTCAAATGGGAAAGATAGCAGTAGCATGCTATTACTAGTCGTCCACGGGAAACGCCTTATTGCTGTCACGTTTTTTCCAACCATTTGTGCGACTTTGCTCTCGAACTCCCGTCATAGTTTATGAACTTAAACTTTAGAAGTAACTGCTTTTTTTATTATCATTATTCAGGGAACATTTTCAGTATGAAGCGAATGTCACCACCACCAAATTTCGCTGGGTTATCTTAATATACATGGTTAATTATCACGTTAAGGTAGCAGGAGCGTACGCCAAAAACTGAAACTTAGTAGTTTGGACGTCAGTGTTCAGTAACTTAAAATCCTGATTGTTTTTGTAATTACCTCTTCTCACATTGGTTGTTTTTATTTTTTCTTAGATGCAATAAACTTTTCATAAAAGTTATGTATGAAGACTGTTTTAAGAATAGTCTACTTATGCATATGTTCAGAATGAGCATCATTTTTGTTGTTTGGGAGTTTTAAGTTTCTTGAGCTTCACTTCTATTCCATTTAGACTAAATTATCATTTAGCAGAATTTGTCTTTTCTTTTCAGAGCAGTAGTATAAAAAGTGTATAGTCACGCGTTTACTATGTTTACAATCTGATACACAAGAATTTACTTTGAGAACTGGAGGTAATATTTTCAAATGCGTTTTTCTATATCAAAATAGAATATGGACAGAAAAACACTAATGAAATAATTCGCTTACGTTGGTAAGCAACAAAATTACCAACACTTGCCTAACAGAAGTTAGTACATAGCCACACCCTTTCCCTAACCTCCATTCCATTACTAAGTATGCCATACTTTAAAGCAAATGAACTGAATTATCTTCAGGTGAAAGTACACAACAGGCTAGACAAATGAAGAGAGAAACTATTAGTAATCTCATCGAGTTTGGGATATAATTCTGAATTTCATTATTCCTCTAATTGAATATATCTGTGTTTAAAGTACCGTTAAATTGAAGGTTATTGACATGTATACGTGTACCTGGTTTTCTCATGCATTGTAAAGCAACTGAATGAACATTGTAAAGGTTATGTATTCGGTGCTCTGAAGTGTAAGTTATTCTGTTTGTTAGGTTGTGAATAGGATAAATATATGGAAGAAATATTTTTAATACCCCGTTACAATGTATATCAGACGTTTGAGTTGTTGGTCAATTAACTCTGGAGGCATATATTCAATAAGCAGTTCAGCGACGGGTAGTTACAAGCAGTAACGTCGTAACTATGCTTTCAGCATAAGAAGTGGTCATCGTGACTCGCTGGGTTGGAGGATAATGCTCTAACTTTCAAATTGGTCGGTCCTGGATTCGAGCTTTAATGTGAACAACATAATTACCCACTGAGTGACAGGTACATCCAGTTGACTAGTCCAGAATAGAACGAAACGCACGTGCTGGTTTCTACTGGTAGCCACTATCTTTCATTACTACGAACTTTTGAATTCACATTATTAAATACAATGAAACAGCCACCTATATACAAAAGTGTGACTGGAATAACAACTTTTTTTCAATTTTATATAAGTTTCATCAATTTTATCGTGGTTTTTCTAAAAGATATATAAAATTCCTACCCGTTTATTGACTCAAAGTTATTGAAGCCAGTAAACTTTCTTTGAGTCAACCGTATTCAAAATAATAGTTATAATTTGTTTTTCTTTTAGGCATGAAGTACTTATTGAGGTGGAGTTATTAAAATCTGAAATAGAAAGATTGAAAGCAGAAGTAAGTGTGTACACACGGTTTGAGACAACCACTGTATATAAGTCTATTTCACTAATACAATTTGCAGGTTTCTGGGAGCTTATTTATTGGTTTCGGTTTGGTATTCATCATGGGCTGATATCACTTGGTGAAACGTTAAAAACTTGGAATCACCAGATAGCTGTTTCGTCCTAGTATAGGACTCCTCAGGAGCTCATACCCATGATCGCACCAGAGATCGAATCCAGGAACTTTGGGTTCTGAGGCCAACACGTTACTATTGGGGCACTGAGTCGGAATCGAATGACCTACATGAACAATACCACGACGAAACAGCTGCCCATTTATCCCAGGTTTTCAATATTTCACTTATAAACTCTTAGATAGTGGTTACATTCTGTAGATTTCGGCCATCTGGTATTAATTTATTTGTTTTATGTACCCACTTGTTTTTCGAAGGGAGTAATATATTTCCAGAATTCGTTTTCTAGGATTTAAGTTTATTATTTCTTTGAAAGGAGTAGCAATGTTTTTCTGCTTCTTTCGACTATTCGAATTTTGCTTGTTTGAACACAGTACATTCATCGTGTTCAAGTGGAAGAGATTATGTTTAAATTAATTCTCATTAAGTTCGGCATAAATATTCTCTATTTCGCCTATCCGCTAAACATTAAATGATAGTATCTAAGCACTTTGCTCCCAATAACATTGGATACTTACGTTATGGATTAGTGAAAAAGTATATTGATGTAGGTTGACTATTTAAATGTTGATTAGTTATTTAAATAATGTTCAATCTGTATAGCAGCAGCAATTTGGTTAGTGAAGCTTATAGGTAGCATTTTTATGTATTAAAAAGGAAGTTTTTATCACTGTCTAACTAATGGTTATTCGTGATAAAAGATTTTCGCAACATAATAAATTCTTCAGAAGTTACTTATATGTTCTATCTATATATACTTTTCGTGGAGTTATGATTTCTTAGTTCAGAGTTGGCTTTCAACCAGTGGATCATGGGTTTGAGCACTGCTCCACTTACCGAGGTTTAGGCAGCGAAGTAGTATCATCAGACCTCACATATTAGGCGTGGCCCAAGGTCTACTGCACGAATGTACAGAAGGTTGCTGAGTAGGTTTCCATTTCCAAATTCTTTTTGTACACTTAATCGCCTTGATTAACTTCAATAATTCAATAATGATGGCATTTACAAAATAAAATGATTTCATCTTATTTAACTGATCTCTGATATTCAAAAAGATGTGAGGAAATAAGTGAATGTCGACTGTAGATAAATTTGTTGTTAATAGGTAGGTATCAAAGTTAATTGGTTGGAGGTATTTGGCAGAAAGCCCTGGACCTAGGTATCATGCTTATTAGTAGCCGTCAGCAAGGGGTATCTTCAACCACAAGATAACTGATGTTGCCTGTGAGATTCAAACCCGCGTCACCTAATGTTGTAGTCAGAGACGTTACCACTGAGCTATTCGGGCTACGACTTACTTCTTTTAGGCCTGGATTACATACATTGATTAATCACTGGAGAGCAATCAATCCCATTTTGTCTAGTCCTGAATAGCTTAGTGATAACATTCCTGACTCTGGGTGATGCGTTTTGAATCTAAAAGGAGACATCAGTTCCATCGAAGTTTCAGGTTCGCCTTAATGATGAGTGCCAATAAACACGAAAGCTAGGTCCAAGGCTTCCTGGGAATTACCTCCAACCAACTAATGTTCGTCAAAGTGCACCATGATGGTAAGCCTCCTAGCTTGCTGCGCACATTGTAGGACGATCGATAGGATTCGTTCAGCACTCAAGACCAAACAACATGAGACTGGTTGCTCTCCAGTGACCGATAAATGTACGTATCAGAGTTATTTGCGGTTGATTGTTGGTCAAGTATTTCTGAAGAACGTTGAGGCTTTTCTTTACTTCAACTGAATATTTTCTACATGTACGCTTAATTGCTTCAGTAATGTTTCACTTTCTAATATCAAGGGTTTTAATACACAGTATTAAACTCACTCAATTTCTTTCAACCAAACATTCGTTGAACGTGTTTTTCATGCTCTACTGATGAGTCATGAATCATTTGAAGATTTTCTCCGTTAAATAGTTTTGTCTGAAAAACACTAATTTTCCTTCTTTGTTTTTAAGTTTTTGATCATCAACTTAATAATATTTAACAGTTAAGTTTACAGAACTTCAGTTTCATGCAGAATGTTAGTTGAATGTACCTACGGTCCAGCGATTTTCAGTTTCCCTACTGGTAACCAAACTCTCAAAGCATAATTTCAAACACTTCTAAGAAAGTTTAGAAAAAGTTACTGTTATGTATGTTTCGATACGCACTGGCGTATACGAAAATTTTCGTGTTGAACCTCGGAAAGATCGTTTATAAACAAAAAGGTGTGTAATGCATCGTCATTAGTTGGGTTCGATGGTTTTACAACTACCTATGTAAAAATTATTGACATCTTTCTAAAGTATGTGAATTAGTTTACTTTGTTTTGAATCTTTAGCACCATGAACAATCCTATTCCCTTTTGAATCGTATACGAATTTTGGAAGATGAAATTAAAGAACTAGTACAATATAAATCAAATCATGAAGAGGTAATTGAAACTGCCTGATATGTAAATTTTTCGTTTTCTTGATTTATGAATCTTGTTTTTATAACCTATAGAAAAACACTTCTATGGAGACAAGGATAAGCTTCTACATTATTAACTTCATGCTGTATCCAACTATCAAAGAGAAAAAGGTGGTAAAAAACCTTTGGTTCACCTTTTTTGGAGATCGTGCTGTGTCAGATGATTTTATCAGACTTTCTACTGAAACTGTCATTACAGCACACAAACGTAAAGGCAGATAGTATTCGCTTGAGTTTGACCAATCAGTAGCAACACGTCAAGAATTCATATGATAGTTGGACGAAAACCTTTAGTGTTTGAAGTGAAATAAAAATCTAGTCAGCAGTTGGGTTTCATACCTCAGTTGGGAGAGCAGTGAGTTGGAAACCCGGCGGTCACTGGTTCAAACCCTCCGTGTCCTAGATTTTCATTTCATCACCCAGTATCAGTATTTTGACCTCGTATAACAGTTGTTCCAAATAACCCTTGTAAGATCAGTGACAAGGCAGATAAATATTTGATCTCAAACTCTATTAAAATCTTATCAATCATATAGTGACCTACGTTCAATTTCTGTTTTACCATAGATAATGCCTAGTCACGTTATTTTGAGTGGCATACTTTATTTTGTTGATTTTCCAAGAATATCTTCAAATTTTTTTTTTCACCATTATTTATAAAAACTTGTGTAGATAATTCTATTTTGGTTCTTTAAGGAACATTGAGCTTTGTTCAATGAATAACTTCTAAAGTTATGAATTCCTCTTAACGGAAAAGTACAGAAAAGATTCCAATCTAAACCTGTTCAATAAAACAAAAAAGCGATGTCTGGTAACATCAAGTGAACACATTAAAAACGGAATACATGTATAAATAATTTGTATAACTATACGGAATCTTTTCGAATAACTTGTAAGTGGACTGAAATAAAAACTTAGGTTTTCTACTAGAATAGCTTAAATGAGTCTGAAAATATCTGATGGTTATGATGACGAAAGTTATTTCTAAACATTGGTTTGAGTTTGAGGTATGTATCTGTAAGCGTAACCGCATTCCATATAAACACCTTCCATTAACAAGATCTATATGTTGTAAATCATTTGATATACTATGTATAAAATATAAACACTTGACTTTTGTACTGTCGAAGTCGATGACAACTGGATGTTTGAAGAACTGTTTGACTCCTTTCACTTTCACACTATGATACAGATATATTTCTGCTTAATTATTTTTAATTACTTCAAAATAACGTTCTAAGTGATTATCACGTAAGCGAATAAATACATACAATGTGATCCATCGACTAAATTAGTATGAATCAATTTTCATGTATTGGCCAATAATACTGAACGAAAAAGTGTTTGCGGAAACGAGAAGGTATCCGAATTGACAAGAAAGACATAAGTTTAGGTTGTAGAGGTGTGTGTACAACAATATCAGATTGAAATACTTCTTCATTATGGACCCATGATGAAGAAAGCTCTATCACTCCAAGTTCTCTTAAATTGAAGCTTAACTTTTTCTAAGAACTGAAGTCAAATTTGAGAACTATGTTGTTGAGAATATTAAGTCTCATGATTTATCACTAGTTTATGGACATCGAAAAAAATCGTATCAGTTTTCCTCTCGACAGGAAAAATATGAAATAGTGAATAAGACAAAAAGGGTAACTTTTTGGTTACAACGATCAGTCGACTACATATATACTATGTCAAAGCCTGAAAGTCTACTGTATTTATCTTATAAAGTGAATAAGCAATATCTTGATATGCAGAATCACTCTTACGTGAAAATAGTTCCACTAAGTTACAAAGACTTACCTCTTGATCCTATAAACAATTTTTGGATAACCTCATGTTAACTCCATTAGTCATAGACGGATATATATTCTGTTGTAATCATAAATACGAATGTACAGCTTCTGAAACTTATTCATCGAAAAGAAAATATTCTTCACTGAATTATCTCTTGTTGTTTTTTCATTCTCACATGTTTTAAATTAATGTTGTAAGTATACTTGTTCGTAATTATTGGGATGGCACAAATAGAGTTAATGGAAATATAAGAGTAATCAGTATGAAGAACAGTAAAACATGTTATGTGGGTAAGATAATAACTATGCGTCAGCAGGTGCAAAGTAATAGTGCATTCACTTTAGCATTCTTTATTTGTAGACAAACAGGTTCACTCAGGAAACAATGAGTTATCGATTCTTTGCCTAATGTCTCATATAGGACTTCATATATGGTCAGCTGAGCAGTCAAATATATCTTAAAACAACACAAATACGAACGATTCTTTGATAAAATATATCTAAATTTTAGTTTTCTCTACTGGCCGACGTAAAACCTATGTACATATTTGAGCGTGCCAGTGGATGGTAACCCTTATATCTGTCAAGTTTTAAGTTTTAACTAAAATTTACTGCTTAAATTTTGAATGTGCGTACCACTATGGGTAACATGCATCAACGATTTGCTACTTTCTTTTGAATAACTGCCCCATCTACCTATGTTTGAGCAACCAAGTGGTATCACTGGCCCTTATAAGATAGGTATCGCTCATTGACTACCCTTTGGGTGTGTACAAGATAAATATATCTTAAATTTCCAATAAAGACTTAAATTTTATTTCACTTCTGTAAGGTCAGAAATTCTGGTTAGTAACTTGTGATTTTCATCGAACAGGTGTAGCTGAGTGCTTTGGTGCTTTAGTCGGTGCAACTGTTCTTAGTTTTACTTATTTCACTTTGAATTTTAGTAGTTTTGAGTTTGACACTTTGATAGTGTAATGTGAAGTCATGAGGTCTGTTGTCATTAACAGCAAATTGAAAAAAATATTTCGTAATTTTGATAAAATTTCACCCTAACGGTGAAGTATAGATTCATTTTCTAAGCTACAAACCATATTGGCTGCCACAGAATTATCAGTGATTCTGTCTGTTTGCTAAGGGTTCATTATGTACAGCGCGTTTTAAGTTTGCATTTATATTATTATTATTATTTTTCCCTTGGGTTCCTAGTGGAACATAGGGCTTCAGTAGCACATCTCCATTGCACTCTGTTCTCTGCAGTCTTTTGAACCTGGCTCCAAGATTGCCCACAAGATTTCATTTCTTCCTCACATGATCTCCTCCAAGTTCGCATTACAATGATCGTATGTTAAGTTCTAGTGCTCTAGCACAAAATGTCAACATGGACTCTTAATTTCTCAAACATAATTCATCGTTAGTAATGGTTTGGGAGGAATGATTTACTTTTAAGCCAGTTCTATCCATAGTGTCGTCATTCTGAGAATGAACCTTAAAATGCACTAAACACTGACTCTATCGTAAGTCGAAAATACAAGTTAGTGTCGAACCTCAATATTGTGGGCGATTTAACTGTGAACTTTTAACTCTTCTCACTGGTTATTTTGAAAATCCATCGGTGAAGCGAAATAAGCGATAACACCTTTAAAATCTATAGAATATGTAGTATAACACTTTCATCCTCAATGGGATTATTACACGTCATACTTTCAACATTTCTTACCTATCTTGCAGCTTCGCGCCTAATATTGTAACTACAACATGTTCATCTTTAAATAATTCACTAACCAGAGGGAGATTTCCTACACCCGCTTTCCTTCTTGAACTTGAATAAGGTTAGGATGGTTAGTTTGGCTAAATACGATGGTATCGTCTTACTAACTAGCCTTCTATTCATCTGCTTACAGGATGATAGATGGTAATTTTTAGAGCAAGAATATTGAAATACTTTCCAACTTGTTGGTTTACCTGTCATAAGGAGGCAGAAAATAGGGAAACTGAAAAACAAAAAGGGAATATAAACTAGTCAGTATAGGTTATTTATAGAACTCAGGTGGTGGTTAATGCTCGTATATCATGTAAATGTCAATAACGTCACAAGGTGATAACGGCTAGAAGGTCAGCTCAAGGCTATCAAAAATTCCTTATAACATTACAATAAACTAACAAACTGTAGACAAAGGAATGAACAAAATGTCATAGGAAAACTACAGCAAAGGCGAAATTAGAGATTGAATACGTCTTTTTTGAACGCAAAGATCAGGCTTTAGCCATTGGATTACCAAAGCTTCTGCTGTGTTGGGATGTCGGTTATTTACTCTCTTCAAAATGTTTGATGCCACTTAATGAATGACGTTGAAAAAAGACTCTCTTGAAGCAAAACGATCAGAGTTAACTAAGTGCTCAAAAATCCAGTTGTTGGTAGCTTTGCACTCTTCTTTAGATAGCCATGCAGGTTAGCGTTCTGGGATGCATTTGGATAGAACGCGCTTTGTGCTGCCAGTGTAACCACCTCCATTAGCTGTTCATGGATATATATTTTGTTGTAACTTTGATTACTACTGTACCTCTTTTAAAAATGACTCATCGGAAAGATTTTCTTCACAAGATTATCTTTGTTTAATGGAACTATTAGCATAAAACATTGATAAAGCTATTGTGAAAATAAGACTGAAACGCGGTATATCATTGCAAGTTCAACAAATCGTAACCACATTATGACATTATTAAGTGGAAAACATAATTAAACTTATTATCAAGGTAATCAAAAGCTAAGTAATGTCTCTTTGAATACATAGGTCACATTGTTGCTTGTCAGTTGAGATTGGTTCCGCAAACTGGAGTAAACTCAATTCTTGTTTCCTATTGATTACTTTCGTCCCTATTTTAACATATATCTTATGTCCTATATCCAGTAAATGACGTTCACCCGGACTGCTGATGCTGCCTGTTCTCTTGAGGCAAAGATTATTTTGGAAGTTTTCAGGGAAACAAGTGAAAGCTTGTTTTTCTGTTATCTCTGTGTACCTACTTTGGCGATGTGTTGGTGTAATTTGAGTTGATATGATCCGGGTATTCGTTTAATCTTGTCTGCCTTACTGTACGTTGTGTCTTATACAACAACTACAGCTTATCATAGTAGAAAGTGGTGTTTGAAAACAATGTTTAGACATTGTCTAATCATACTCAAAACTCATTCTTGCTCAGGTACAAGCAGTATAAATTGTGTTGTCTACTCAGGTCATTTTTCAACGGCTGGAGAGCTAGTCTTCTTTGTATATTTCATGATGAACTTTTGGCAATAACTAGCTTCCTGAAGTGTATTATCCAAGTATTTGACAGCATGTAAGACCGAATACTCCACTTATCTTTCATCAATAGCCGCTGTCAAAGTTAGGTCAACATTACTATTGAAATATCTGTACTGGAGGTTATATACTAACGCTGGTTGATCAATGGAGTCCAAAGCAAAGAAATGAAAATCTGTGATTTTATTTTGTTTTGTTTTCGTCGAACGACGTGAAAGTTCTGTGTTTTTCTTTTAAACAGTCTGAAGTGGACATTTCTATTAGTTCAGAGTTTTTAGAAAAGCAACCAGTTGTCTTTTCTTTTCAGCGATTGCTTAACTGACAGTGAGATTTTCCTCTTTAAGCGTAGTGTCGTTCATTTCAATCAACTCACTTCTGTTCTCTACATTTATGTCAAACTAGATTCTTAATATGAGAACATTTTTTCGGGAACATCTTCGCCTTTATTTTTAGCTTCTTTAAAAGCAGTTTTGAAATTGCTTTCTTGTCGTCAGTTTGTTTGTTTGTTTAAGCATATCTTTCTGTCCATTTGTTTGTCTATAAATCTCTGTCTGCAGTCCTGATTTTTTATTTCGTTTAAGTTTTGAAGCAATGACAACAATCCAATTTAAATTTCATGCTCTTCATTGTATGTTTTTTTAATAATCACTGCCTTTTTCCTAAAAAAAAATCAGCTCGATATAAATTTAGCGTTCAACTCCAGTCATTATTGTTTTATATATATGTGAAAAACAAACATTGTTAGTGCTAAAGTTTTCGATATAAATCTGAAGTAGCTGACATCCTAAACATGGACATGCTGAAGTCAATTTGAGTCATAATTTGAAAAGTCAGATATGTAGTGAAAACTAGCCGAAACGAGTCTGATTCCCTATTAAGAGATAAGCTAGTGATGAGTAAGTGAAAATCTTATATTTAGTACTGACTGACATAAGTATTTGTGGAACATACATTCCAGTTATTGTGGCGTACTAAATAGATTGAGGTAACATAAAAACCAAACTAGCGTTTTACTCATTTTGAAGCAAGCTTATAAACAGCGTACACAGATTAATTCATCTTAGAAAGCTAATTATTGTTGAAAGCGTTATAATTCTTTCTTGTTCTTTCAGTGGATTTGAATCCTTGAGATGATATCATTTGTTCTGCAAATCGTGTACTTCTGACTGATACAATAAACTGACTTGCATATTTTTTGTGTTTTGTATCAAGAACTTTAAGAGATCAGTGCACTGAAAAGTACAGTGAGCAAGTTGAAATAGTTTCTCAAGTGTCTACAACAGTTATATAACTAAAGTTGTACTTCTTTTGCTCTCTTATACTGAAATAATAACTCGAGTATTGCTAGAAACTAGTTTATTTTCTTTTTTTCCTGGTAATTATTGATAAGAATGGCTAATTAATTCAGTCTCAGTTATATTTTTGTTGACTAAATGAAAGTGTATTGTGTCATTTTATGACCATATTCTGTTTCATTGCCTCTTCTCCTTCTGCCCTATTTTACTTCTAATTATTTTTGTTTCTATGTTTCTCTCTACTTTCTTTCATATCTATAGCAGCAAATGAACTATGAAACTAAATTAAATGAGAAAATATGTCAAGCTCAAGTCTTCGAAGAGAAATTTGTTAAACTAAAAGAAGTTTATACGAAACTACGTGAGGAACATGTTGTTCTATTAAGAAATGTATGTTACATAATTTCCTCATTTTTTTCAGATCTCTCCACAGTTTCATTCTTTTTATAAAATTGAAAATAAAACAGTATGATATCCACCTATTATACATTTGGTTATCAAATTTCATAATGACTTGCATTTATTTACAAGCTGTTTATTTTGTCGAAGTCGAGACTCGTCAGGTCGGTTTCTCAGCTTGCTGGTCTAAGACATTAAGACAAAACAGTGATCCAATACTTTTTGGTTTTCAAAAGCTCCATAACTAACATGAGCTTTTAGAAAACAAATTAAACAGCATAGATTCATCGAGAAACAGATTATGTAAATGAAGTTATCATATTAGAATAAATTATATCGTTAGCATAAAACATTGTTTATAAATCTTATTGCAATTAAATGCAGTATGGAAGGAAACATGAATCGATTCTATTTTCTGTGTAGCATGAACCGTGATGTAAAAAAAATAGTAGTTCATATATATATATATATATATATATATATGTCAGTTGCCAATTCACTTGATGACTGATACCAGTGCGAATGAATTGGTTGCTAGCAAGATCATAGCTTAGATTCAAAAATATAGTTCTTGGCATTTCTCTACCTACATCATTTCTTATTCTGGCGAACCATCTGATTACTTACCGAGTACGAGGATGCTGCTGAGTTATCCATTCTATCCTATTGTGTGGCTGTGACACATGGTCATCGAAGCTAGATGTTAAAGTGTTACGGGGTTTTGATCTTGGGTGCCTTCGTAGCATTGTTTTTGTGTGACAGGATTATCGTTGAAACAGTGTTGAGGTTAGGCTTAGAGTTACTAGTCAATTTTCACCGACTGAGATGCTTGGAAATGTCTCTCACATGCCGAGACACCGCCTTATCGACATGTAATGTTATCTGAAGTGAGATTTGGGTGCAGGAAGCCTAAGAGTGGTTAGACCAAGATATAGTACCAATCTTTGATTCCTTTGAGTATAGCGTAGCAAGATATAAGCAGCCAATCTGGGGTCCTAAAAAGATGGAATTCCAAGGTCGGCGACTTTTTTGGTATGGCTGAAAATCTGTAAGCGTGATGTAAGAGTATTCTCTCATTTTCATTTTCGTAGTCTTAAGCATTCACTTACCTATATTTTTTTTCTTTCTTTCTCGCACGTTTTGCCAACTTTGATGTCATTCTTTTTCTGTGCACCTCTCATTTGGATGTTACTATAAAATGTAACAGCTTGAACTTATGCACTTTTGTGCTCCACGTTGATCTGTCTGACTGTCACAGCATGGACACAACAACCACTGACTTTGCTTTTTAGTGACATTCTTTTTTCTGAGCATCGTATGACTTTTTGTACTTCGTGCTTATTCTAGTCAATACCGAATGTTGAAGTTATCCTGATGCTGCTTCATATCTAAAATTAGTAATTTATCTATTTCATCTTACAATTCGTCCGTTACGTCAACATTTCTTACACAGTAGTTTCATCATAATCATATGATGCTGACTGTTAAACACACACTAAGCTTTCTAAATTCTTGACTGTATGCAAATAGAATATTTACTACTTGGTAGTAACTGCTTGATGGATAGTGACTACCGGAGGAATCCAGGATCACTCCCAAATGGGACGAAACTGCGTTCTGGACTCAGATGCTAGCCACTACCCATCATTACATAGTCTACTGTTTATTACCACATCTAGCTGTTCTTCTTACTTTGAGCCACAGGGATATTTTTGATAGAGACAAAAAGTAACTAATCTGTTTGCTTGACACGCAACCTTTATACAAGTGTAAGTATATCAATTCCGATGAATCTTCTGATACTTCACTCATCTTGTTTTCTTTACTGAAGCTGTATACAGAGTATAGTTAATAACCTTTCAATCTGCTAGTGCAAGGTATTGTCATTTAAGAGTGTCTAATTACGAAAAGTGGTCTGTATTCTGCTGACCAGTTACAGTTACTACAAACTAGTGGACATAATTGCATAAATTTGACAAAATATTGTCACTGTGAAGACCAGCTGTTGATAGGTTTTCATCTAGCCTGCAGGCTGGTAGATACGTTGTTGCAGCCGACGCGTAGAGAAGTTTAAGTTTAGCGGTGACTACGAGAATCTTGAAAAGAGAGAGGAAGCGAAAAACGTGAACCAACAACTCAGCAAGTACACAGTATGTACCTACATTTGATAATAAATGATAATTAACAAAGGGTACAGCTTGACAACGAAGAAGTGGAGTAGTCTAGAAATGGAAACTGGAAAGTGAATGAATAAGATTTCAAATGCGTTATAACACGAAGGTAGTTTTTAACGACAACTACCTGGAATACGTTTTCTGAATATGATACAGTAATGCAAGAATTATCTTTTGCCATACAAACAGTTTTATACCTTAAAACTGTCATTGCTGATTGAATCCCAACAGCTAATGGCGTTTAGCATGCATTTTTGAGGATATAATAAAGCATGATAACGTTTGCAGTTAGTTGGTACAGTCAAACCTTTATTTTGTAACACCACAGAAAAGGGAAATCAAGGTTGTGTAGTGTGTGTGTGTGTGAGCATTCTGGAACCCGTTACTGTAATATTTTCGAAATACGACTATAGGTTGGTATTCTCAGTTGGTAACAGCTAAAACTTGTAAACTTAGATATTACAGAAAAGAGAATGAAAATTCTAAGTATCTTCTGGTATTTACGAGTACTCATGAAATCCTACTAATTTACAAAGTCTGCATCTCATGCTATACAGTGGTAAATAAATAAACCCTTTCAGTTATTGAAATAGAGTAATAGTCATTACAATCTATTACATCCATAGCCAATAGGATTAAAATGATGTTTTCAAACACCGACCTGACTCACAAAAAGTGCTTTGTGAGTAATCAGTATTTTAGCAAAGTAAAAACGACAAATTTTGTGGAATACAATGAATTTATTGAATTTCGTTGCCTTCTTTTTAACGGTTTACCGGCTATAAAAATGATAAGTTGCGCACAGAGAAATGTAATCTGAATAGCTTAGTGATTAACAAGAAGGTAGTTTAGTAATGAAAGATAATAAAAGATAAAGATAAAGATAAGATAATAATAATAAAAATAATAGAAGTCAGATCAAAATAATTTATTGGGACGAAAATCAAAATTATATGTTTAGATTGTCGTTTGGCTACATTTGACATCTAGAAGCTGAATGGAAAAGATTACGTAAGTGTAGGGGATATGTTAATAACGCAATTACCAGAGTAAAACTTGAAAATGGGTTTAGGTCAAATCGGTTTGGACTAAATATTAGAATTGTGGAGATAATTTTTGAAAAGAATTAATTGTATGAGATTATCAACATTATCTTCATCAAACATAGAAGTTGAGAATTTTACATAGTCGCAGTGCCTTGGTAATTGCAATCATCTTAAAACTTTGGTTTTTATAAAACGGTTACAGTTTCCAAAAGTCATCATACCATTCTGCATCCAGGTACTGTTTAGAATTCTGTGGTTGGTACTGTGCTCTAGATAAATTCTGAGGTTGTAACATAATGTTGTGAACGTAAGGTTTTGTTTTATTCTGTTTCTGTCTCCTCATCGCTCCCGAAAGGAACTAAATTCAAGCGAAATGAGGCAACATCCCTAGTTTTGGTACTGAAATTTATGACTAAGAATTTTGAGGTATCAGGTAAGCTTTAAGCTGATGCAAGTCGACATACAAGTTAAGTGTATCTAGATTGGTGCTATCGTATGGCAAATGATCTTGTGAGATGCAGTTTCTCGTAGCTACACTGAAAACGTGTTCCTTATATCAACAGAAAAAGTTCATTATTGAGCATTGTGAACCGTATTTCGTATGGATCACTTTTGAGATGAGATGATTGTTGATTTCAAGTTGGTATTCGTCATGTACTGACATCATCTGGAGAACCATTGGACACCTGGGAGCACTGGATAATTGTTTCTTTCTAGTAAGGGACTCCTCAGCAGTGCACAATAATAACTTCGTCAGAGTCCAAACCTGGGACTTTCAGATTTCGCGGTCAGCGCGTTGCTATTAAGCCACAGAGTTGCAGTCCAGTGGTCCAGATTTCCCACTTTTGTCATTTTACAATATAACACGACCTCCACCTCCATCGAATGCGATATTTGAGTAATTGTTCTCACATCCGCCTTGATTGGCCCCACTAGTGATGACTTCTGATTAGAATAACGGTAGTCTCACTCTGAAGCAAGGTACTAAAGAGCATTTGATATTGCTTCAATGTAGAGGTTTGGGGGTTTCGTTGGTTCGAGTTGGTATTCATCACAAACTGACATCTGTCGGACAACCACCCATCTTCAAATCGAGATGGTTGTTGCTGACGAAATTCTGGAGAATATTTTTTATGTGACTGTTCCTAATAATAATACCTTTATGAGAAAACACCAAAGCACATCGGGATTTTCTGGAATGCAACTGCTTAGTTTTTAATTAAAAAGCTATCATAATTGTCCTAATAGATTTTAAAGTTAGAGTGTGAAACATTTGCTTATTAATTTTTTACTGAAATAAGAAATATATATATATATATGTGAAGAAATAACCATTTGTTGTGATTCCTTTGATTTCTGTGACAAAGCTAAAGCCAATTCTTTTCATGCTTCATACATCTGGTGATGCGTTTAGTTGCTTGTTCACTACAGTTTCTTGACCTGCATTTAGTGGAGTACTCATTCGTCCATAACTATTAGTTGAATATAAACATAATTCCTAAAAGGTATGTTTCTTTCATTTTCTTAACTCAAATGCGTCCCAGGTTAAGTAGGTCTAGCTTAATTAAGACAGGATATATGCAGTGAATATACTTGGCACATTGAAAAGCGGCTTTTACTTAGTTCAAATGTTTAGTTTTTATATCCAATGTAAATTTATATAATACTTACTCTGAATGGCTATATCATATCATTGAAAGTAAAAGTTAAACATGTGAAGCCATTAAACATCCTTATTTCAAAGATGTCACGTCATGCATTAATAAGACAGAGATTTATTTACTGCTCATTTTGTCTTAATGTTGATATGAAGATTTGAGATGATGTGAAACCATTTTTTCATGTAAACCATCTATTGGGAAAAAGCACTGAGAGTTTTGTCTACCGGATCGAATTAAGCATAACAGCACAGAACGAAGGTGTGATTAACCTAATTACGATTAGACAAATGCTTACTCAGCATCTCTTTTCTACGATAATGGATCTACTCTCGAAAAATACCGCGATATCTGAGTATTTATAATATTCCAAACTGATTCCGTTAAAAGATACCAAAAATAAGTTGCGTAACCAAAGATAGACGAAAAAACCATTAAAAACATAAGTTTATCCCTCGAATTTCGTTTCTAAACCTTTAAGTAATAACTGCGTTAAATAGTTTCCTCGCTTTATCATCGTTCTAAAATAATCATTCACATTTATAGTATCTGAGGTAATCACTGAAGTGTTTCGGTTGCTTGGTTTAAGTGACTGAAGTAGTTATAAGTTCATGATTTATATTTTTATATTTCTTTTGGGAAATGCAGATAATACAATAAATAATGTCACGTACCTAATACCGAGATTTCTTAAACTATCACCTCTCAACTTTGGTTTGATATCTGTATTTGTGTGTTGATACCTTTAATGAAACGATGCTTGTTCAGCACTCCTTACTTCTGAAGTAATTCAGCTTGTGTTTCATTGTCTCTTGGTCAACCTTACTCGTATTGATAAATCCTTAGAACTCTTTGAACATATATTTTCTAATTCATGTCTATTATTACTTGTAATGGTTTATATTTTCTTATATCTTCTCTTCGTTCATGCATTAATTCCCTTTGGCATTTTAATCTGTTTCCAGCATGGGAATACACAACAAACTTTACAACAAGAAACGCAAAAGAATAAAGATCTGGAAAAAATAATTGAAGTAAGTTTGTTTATTATTAATAAATGATATTTCAGTAGTGTGTTCAACTAAACACAACTGTGCAGCTATAGATGGTTTAAAATATATATTACCTGTGTTATAAGCTTTATTATTCTACCCTAAGCCTTATGTTCATATTTCTATGCCAATAGAAATTAGTCATGAGCAATACCGCTTGAAATCGATTTTTGTCATCAATTTGAAGTATATCTTGCTTTGCCAAGTTTGCAGTTATTCTAGTTCATCAATAATAACTTTTACTTATTATGTATGAACTTTTTAAGGATAGATAATAATCACCTTTTAAGAAATAATGAAAAGCGATTTCCACGAAGTCGCGAAACGTCAGAAATTAATTTTCTACGTCACTGAGGTTTTACAAATATATTTCATTCATAATTCATTTACCTAATGCTCAACTTATTAAACTCTACCAGGTTAAATTTTGATCTTTAAGTATATAGATTCACTTTTAGTAATATATGCAACACCGTAATGCTCCTATAAGGTATACTTTATAACTTGTTGTGAAAACCTATATGATCATGATTGGTAGTGGCTAGCAGTGGAATCTACGATGTTTGTTTCGTTTTATTTAGGAATCATCGGCTGGATATACCTGGCCCTCAGTAATCGATGTTGTCCCCATAAAGACTCGAACCCGAGACCAATCACTTCAGGCACCAGAGCGTTGTCCACAAGGTCCTCGAGTCACAATATCCATTTCTTGTGTGACGAGTATAGTAACGTTAAGGTATGTAGTCTCTTAGATAGCTTGATTAGTCTGAAACTCAGTCTAACAGCAGAGAGCCAAGCAACTGGATGTTCTGAAGAGTTCACCTAACTGAAGAGTTTTATTAATGTTTTCAAAATAGATACAGACAAGATCTTGAAAAATTTCGGTAAGATAATGATAGTGAAGTATTCGAATGCTTTAAAAGGGATAGAATTTACCTTGTGGTTAAGCAGTTTATTTCTGTGTAGCATATTCAGTAAAAGTGCATTGCATTATACGTATTTTACAGTTAGTATTACTGTAACACTACTGAGAGTTTGTTCCGAATATCGTATAAATTATGTACCATCTGAATCTAGTAACCTTTTACATAGTCTAAAATTTTGTGGTTGCAACTCGAAATTTCATTCTTGACACTTAAGTGTAGCATCAATCACCTTCGTAGCTCAGATAACTGACTGAATAATTGGCATCAGTAATATATAATCAATTCATTTTTTTAATTATTATCGGAATAAAGTTTATTTTGCGTGCAATTTTGAATACAATTAACAATCCATATAAAATCTTGGGTTATTTTACAGCTGATAAGGGAATTGTACATCATTTTTTATTTGATTTTTCATGTTATATTTTTATGAAAAAAGTTTTCGATATAAGATTTAGTGTGGAGTGTTTTGAAGTAAAATTATGCTTTAATCTCTTCCGTCCAATCATCTACATGTGTATACTACTGTGCAAATACTGACACTGTAGATATAAAAGTAGTATGTGCTTCCACTTGGGTTTTGGTGGGTTTTTTTTCTTTGTTTTAAATTCTCTTCGGGATTTTAGTTTTTATTAATAAAAAATTCTTTTGTACGTTTAGGCTTTATTTTCAGTATTTCTGTACAAGGCACAAAGTCAATAATAAATGGAAAACACAACAGACTAAACAAACCTACGTAAATGGAATGATAAGTATACCTGATTTCATATAGCGTAGTGAATCTAGTTTAGAAACAATTGGAAAGCATAAACAATCAGGGAAACAGATAACACCATAAAAATGCTACTCATCTCTTCATTATTGCCAGTTACAAAGGTTTTTAACAACTACTTATTTATATTCTGAAACGATTAGGGTGAATAGGTTTTGTTGATTTCCTATCTTGGTGATGTTGTAAAATGTCATATACAAAACAGCGAGTTGTTTTATCTATCACTATTTGGTTGTACTTCTAGATTTTGTACATCAACCATTAGACAATTAATTTTGTCACCTAATGTTCCAAGGTTTATATCCATTATTCTGGATACCTGTAACGATTTACGAAGTGAAATATACTTTAGGCAATCCACTATAAATCTTGGTAGCTACAAATCGATTTCTGATAGAGCTGACGCTCGTGAGAACTCTTGCAGCGATTACAGTCGTTACAAGTTTGCTTTTGTCATCAGTAAAAATAACTAAAATCCACTGTGAATTAATGATCTGTTTCACTTCAGTCACCATGAACCCTTGATATTTATCACTTCCAGATGTAGTATTCTCAGAAATCCAGTCGTATGAGACTGGTGAAAATGCAGTGAAATACAATGAATAAACTGGATTCCGAAAGTACAGTCTTAATTTAGTCTTGATCATGGAGACCTCCAGAAAAATTGAACGTAAAAGGCTCACTGGATGTGACCAAAACGTTTTAACTTGGTTGGTGGGCCATATCGAATTCCCTGCAAACATTTCACTAAATTTCTGTAATCAATGGAGAATTGTGTGAATATTAACAGCGAAGTCATTATACTCAACTCCGTTGATTTAATAAACTAAATTGATGTTAAATAGGTTAAAGGTTTAACAGGTTGTAATTTTGACTATATAAGATCCCGTTGGTTTGGCAGACTCATATTTAAACTGGGTGATGATCGAAGGTGAGATGAAAATTTGGATCGCAGTGGTATTCGAACCAGCAACCACCGGGTTACCGGCGTGGTGTTTTACCAACTGAGCTAGGAGGCCGTTATTAATGTCTTCTAATTCATTATTCTTAGGGAAATTCTGTTATTTGACTCAATTCAATTTTAGCACTTTGATGTTAATATTACAAACCGTTCTTAAGGTCACCACCTCCACTATGCTAACTATTAGTGCCAACTTGTACGACTTCAAGGCTTTCTGACTATGTCATTTTCACACTACGAGACCACTAGCCATTCGGTGTCGTTTATTTGTGTACATGACATGTTTACCCAACCTCTGGCTTTTTCGTAGTCAAATACCTAATTGTATTTTGCATATTAACTGATGTCGTTTCTGCTACTTGTTTTTTTCTATTACTTATTCTGATTACCTTTAAGAATTTTTTAATTTGTTTTTATGAGTGACTCTGGAGACCATTCCGGTAACTACTTAAAGAACCAGTTCAATTTATCTATATTGATGAAATATCTGCCTGTTCAATCGAAATGAAGAAATCAGTGCTTGCTAAGGTGACTTCTAGAGTTACCCCGTTTTACCACCTACATGAGCTGTTTTACCTGTGAACCACTACCAAACTACTGTCTATCAAGACTAACAAATGAATCAATCAAATATCTTTTTTATGTAAATACTCATCACCTCTGACTGATTTACTTTGCTCTTCTCACTTGTTATCTTTCGAATACCCCAAAATATGACTCAAAACGCTTGATATATGTCCCTGTTAATACTGCTTACTACGTTTACTGTCTATATTACTTAGCATCAGATTGCTTTAACCGAAGACTTTATTTTTCTTCCTCAAAAAAGAACAGATGAAGCCGAAAACTAAGCCATCTATGTCTTAACTGGTATTAATATTATTATTATTTATCCCTTGGGTTCCCAGTGGAACATAGGGCTTCAGTAGCACGCCTCCATTGCACTCTGTTCTCTGCAGTCTTTGAACCTGGCTCCACGACTGCCCACAAGCTCTCATTTCTTCCTCACACGGTCTCCTCCATGTCACCCTCAGCTGGGGTGCCCAACTCGTCGTTTCCCCTTAGGATTCGACTCTAGGGTGCTGATCTGGCGCGTGATATCCGCAACCGGTCTCCTCAGTGTATGCCCAATCCATCTCCACTTCGTTCTGCATATTTTTGGGTGATAGGTTCTTGGTTGGTCCGTTGCCAGCCAGAGTTGCTTGTTGCTTATTCTTTCTGGCCTTCTCATCTGATCTTCATTATCGAGCCAGAGTAGGTGGCAGCTGTTAATGAATGTTTGTAGTTTGTTGGAAATGCTTTTCGTGACGTGCCAAGTTCCTGAATCATCGGATAGAAGCAAGCACTGACTTGACTGACTTGGTGTTGAAATTCCGGATCTTGTTGTTTGTGGTGAGTGCAGTAGATGTGCACACTGATTCCAGACTAATGAACACCTGTCTTGGTTTTCCGACCCGGGTTTTGACATCCTCGTCTGTGCCTCCTGTAGTGGAAAGGGTGCTGCCTAGATAGGTGGAAGAGGCGACTTCCTTCAAGTTTCTCCCATTGATGGCGATGGTAGCTTTTTGTTGTTGTTGTTGTTTGGGTATCTTCATCACCTCTGTCATCTCTGTATTCACTTGAAGTCCCGTCTTCGCTGCCTCGTCTCTTTTGTCAACTTGTTAGTTTTCGCCTGTAGATCTTCAAGTTTGTGCCACAAGACACTAGACACAAGTCATCACTGGCGAAATCCAAGTCTTCTAGGTTTTTTTCCGTGGTCGAGAGTATCCTTATCTCCTCGCTCCTCACTGTTTGTTGCATGATGCAGTCGACCACAATCAGGAATATCATGGGTTATAGTAGGTGGCATCCTTGTCTTACTCCTTCCTTTCTTCACTTCAAAGGCATGACTAAGCTTTCCATTGTGGATTACTTGGTATGTGGCGTCTTCATTTAGCTGTTGAGTGAGGTTGATAAAGGTTTGTGGCACTAAAACTGTAGTGTTGAAGCAACTGCCAAATTATTTTCTGGTCTGTCTTTACTATAGTCAGGCATAAAGTGGGTAAAATTACTAATAACTGTCATAATTAAAAGAACTTCCGACGAAATAAGTCCGACGTACACTTTTTGGTAATCTACCTTTACTTATTGACAACTACAGTACACTAGTAAGTCTTTAGAGGAAGAAAATGTTTAAATTGAAGTTTCTTCATTTTAATGATTGATAAAAATGAAATTTTAAGATTATCATAGTGACTGAATTTATACTAGGTACTAATTACTCGTGAAAAGCAACTCTATACATTGTTTCACTGTTTGATAAATAAGATGATGAAAATAAAATCTTACAAAGTAGTTCTCTTAAACAACTACTTCATCATGCGATTACAGCAAATAGGTATTAAAAATAATTTTTTTACATCATTATAAAAACTGTGTACATTGTTCGCTGTTCAATGTACGTTTGGAACCTTGTTTGCTATTGAATATTTATCTATTTACAATGGGTGATGATTGAACGTTAAATGAAAACCTGGATTGTGAAACGATTTGAACCAGTCGACTCCAGGTTACTCACCCAGTTGTCTGCCACGTAATCTTCTACAGGACCCAGCTGATGACTAGATTTTAATTTCACTTCAATCACCACGAGTTTTCACCGGTTGCCATGTGAATCCGTGATACGTAACCGTTCTTTGATTGTGACCAAACTGGCTATCCAGCCAGATCATCTCGTCACGATCCATATCGAGTTGAGTTAAAGAGGAAGAGTGTCATAATAATTATAAATTATAGCCGCGATGTAACAAACTTGCATTATTGATATTGGCTGATGGTTAAAACGTAGCTGTGTCTCGTAGCTTAGTTGATGAAGCTCCAGGCCACTGGTTCGGCTCCTATTATGGCCCGAACTTTCATCTCACCTTCAATCGTCACCCATTAACATTACCATATGCCTACCAAACCACACCTCAGAAAGTCACATTGATATTCATTTATCTCTTACAACACGTCTGTTTCTACTCATCAATATTAGACTATATTAGTATATTCAAAAACAAAATAACATAGATTCTTTTACAGTTTTTCATAGGCTTTTCTGATAATAAGATTAGATGATGAATACCAGTGGTAGCAATTGACTGCAAATTTTTTTTAAATGATTTAATGATAGATTGAATAGTCAAAGGATTTTGTTTAATTTTTATCCATGTACAGAAAGAAATTAGACTTAAACATTTTTTATTTCATTCGAGTAGCTAGCGAATGGGTTTTGCTTATTTTAAGATTTCCGTTAGTTTTAAATTTATAGAGGAAATTGATTTTTAAAATCATTCAGGTAGAAAAGTGAACTTCTGAGTTTTCGTAAACTTGTAGAAGCCGCTTCATCAGATGATAAGTGCTGTACAAGTTAGCACTTGTGTAAGTAGTAAATGGCGATCACATTGTTCATAAAGAATGACATTTATTCCCATAATCTTTTCATTCATGAACCAAATGGTCTGATTTCTTCATATTTGCTATTTATAAGAGCGGTAACCTGTACATGACTTATTCTCAAGAGAAGCGGCTTCTACGAAGTTGCGAAACGTCAGAAATTTATTTTGCTACCTCATTGGAATTTTAAAAATATATTTCCTTTTTAATCCATTTACCCAATGTTTCGCTTATATTCAACTTTACCAGATCAAATTTTGATCCTGAAGCCTATATGTTCTAAGTTTGGTTTGCTGAACTGTCATTGTTGAGTGTTTTCTGTGTATTTTACATCATATTGCTAAATAAATACGCAAAAGACTAGATCATAACCTTGATTAATGTGCACACACCTGTCTTGTTTTATATCATTTAATTTGCTTAGTCAAAGGTTTATGATGGTTTTATGATTATTTATAACATGTTACTCAGAAGAATTACTGATGTCGCACTTAAACACTTGATGATTAACACCTTTTTTGTTATGTCCTTTGAGCTATCTAAGTGTGAAGTGATTCTGTAAGGTTAGCAAATGATTATTTGGTGGGGAGTTGTTGAATTTGATCGGAAGGTTTATGTGTTTTTGTGTTTGTGTAAGCATTGGTAACGGTTCGAAAAACTACAAAAGCTAGAACAGTTAGTACATAGCAGTAGTTTTTTGCTGATAAAACTTAGTCATTAAACGCCTCAGTGTTAATTGTCCTGGTCCAACGCTAAGAACTGAGTACATTTGTTAGCTTTCTAAATTCATCCGAAGTTGTCTCTACAGCGTTGTATATAACCGCCAAAAACTTCATGCATGTTTTAATTAAGATGTAACAAATGATGCTGTGGTATACTAGCTGATCTTGAACACTAACTGTGTTGTTTTGCATGTATTTTGTGTAAACCCATCATACCAAGCGATAAAGACAAATCGTAGATAGGCAGTATAAATGGCCTTTTAATTTACTGAGGAGTTTCGTTGCATTTATTATTGTTCATTTAACGTCTGTTTTTGCCGCGTATCTCTGAGATAGCCGTGGTTTTGCTGACTGGTAATACGGAAACTGGGTGATGGTTGGAAGAAAAGTAAAAACTTGGGTCGCAATGGAGTGCGAACCAGTGGTTCACAGGTTACTGACCAGGCGTGCTAACAACTGAGCCACCTAACCCACTGGTTTGATTAACCGGGAGCTGGTGTTTCAAATGCAACGATTATATGCATTTCCATTTCACGTATCCTCTAATTTGAGAACTGATCTTAGTAACTGCTTGGTGTAATTTTTAACCGTAGGGATACTATTTGGTTCTTCTGGATTGAGTTCTTTAATCAGTTTTATTAGGTACTGTTACCAACACTAAAACTGTTGGGTTTTGAAACGATAGTGTTAAATCTCGTACTAATATGGAATTAATTTCTATCACAGTGCCCAAGTTTTACAGTTATATTAGTGTTAAATCTCCTTTCCCTGTCTATTTTTATTATATGGAAACTTATCAGTCAGTCCGTTCACTAGGTTACCATCGTCTACTTACTCAGCTTTATTGAGTTGTTATCACTGGTATGTCGGCTTAACTGTTCTCCATATGTACTTTGGTTCGATTTTATTCCCACCCTTTTGAATCGGCTTAAGTATTTTAACATAATGACGTCTCTGTGGACGATTTGTCTGTCAAAGAAACACGTTCCTGACTCAATTTTGTTTTCTCTTGCATTGGTTGGTTTGACTTAACACTGTTGTCAGTATTTACAACCGTGGTTCTGACCCCCTTCCCCCATCTAGGTTACCATCTTTCGAATAAACTTCAATAGCTTTGTGCTAAACGATTGAGATTTGAGGTTGATCTCCCTATTCATTACATGTATCCATATTAACTGGTCTCAATTTACTATAGATTCAGTAACTGTTACTTAAATGATTTTAATCAAGTTAGTTGTTTCACATACATTTAGTATAGGATTTAATTTGACATATTTATTTTCAGTACGTTCACACTTAAGAATACAGATATTTTGATGAGATTATACTCTTAATCGAATAGTTTGCTTGTATTTTATAATAATAATAATACTGTATCACTATGCGCTTTATATCAAATAAACAAATCTAATATGGAACAAGTTGGTTGGTCTTTTCAGTGCACATTCACTTCTTATAGCCACTAGTGCATTTTTAAAACGTCTTACAGTGACATTTTTAGTACAGAGCACACTTCTACTGTCAAACAATAATAACATACAACTATATGTTAGTATTGAAGGTTAGAGATCAATCGAAAAGTACCTCTGAACATCGATTTCCAACACGTTACACCGATACACAGTGGACTACAATATCATATCATTTAACTCAGTGACCGATTGCCAAGACTTGACCGATCAGTGCTAAGGAGCATGGACTAGGCAGTTATAAAAGTTGTCGCTGATAACCGTTTCATCTGTACCATTGTATATATTTAATATGAATCATTTATATATATATATTGACCTTTTTCTTCCTTTCAGGATCTCTGTAATCAACAGATACCAGTTTCAGTCAAGAACATAGAGTCTTTATCGTTATCTCATCAACAAGTTGTAAACCCTATAAATCAATCCTCAGAATTAGAACATCAAATTAACAGTTATGAATCACAATTAGATACTATAAATGTTGAAAAAGATCGTCTTACTACCGAGGTATGTGTCAGTTGTTTGTTGGCTTTGCCAATTAACTCATTGGCTCAATTGTCTATTGTAAACTATCATTATTATGTATCTAAAAAAAAGATTAGTTGCCTAAGTAGCGTGTTTTTATAGTACTGAGTTCTATTCGAGAGTGCTGTAACAAATCAAAACTACGGCTTGGTTGCGGGACTACACTACTTTCTCAGGTCATAATTATTCAGTATTTATCCATGCGACAAGTGTGTAGTGTTGCTGTAATTATGCTATTATCATATGTATGTTTTACAATGGTAGGTAGAAAGAGCGAGTGAGTGGAATAATTAACTTGATTTTTATGCTAATAAGGCTGTTAGTTTTCTTAACGAGAACTATTTGTTTACTGTAAGCACTCACGCATATTAAGGCGAATAGACACTGTATAAAGTGGAAACTGACGCAAACCTATTTCAGTTCAATCTGTCACACTTCTTAGTAACACAGAAAACTGAAAACAAACAGAACTATTATCAGATAAATTATAAGTATATATAACACGGGGTAAAGATTATTATTACGATTATCTGTCTCTTGGATTCCTAATAGAACATAGTGCTTCAGTAGCACGTCTTTAATGCGCTCTCTTCTCTGAAATCTTTTGAACTTGGCTCCACGACAGCCTACAACCTTTCATTTCCTCCTTACACGATCTCCTCCATACCACCCTCAGCTGGGTGCACAACTCGTCGTTTCCCCTTTGGATTTCACTCTAGAGGGATGACCTGGCGCGTGATACACGCAACCGGTCTCCTCACAAAATCGAGGTGACTAAACATTGATGCATTCGAGTAATGAATATCCACTTGGATTATATCTTGTTCCAAAGACCAGTGGTTTCTTTACTCTACGGCTATTGACACTGTGTGTTCTCTCATGAATTCATCTTAGCCTTTATTTAAATGGCCAGCCTACTTTTCAGTGACTATTTTCCATCGTACTCTTTCAGGTTCTTGTTACTATTGTCACCAATTTGCTTTTATTTCAGACAGGAGGTTTTGTTTATTACACAGAAGTTATCACAGAGATTTTATCAGTTAGTTGGTGAAATTAGTAAATTATATGACTATTTAGTTTTATATCCAAATACATTTTTTCGCAACGCAAATTATTATTATTTTTCCCTTGGGTTCTCAGTGGAACATAGGGCCTCAGTAGCACGCCTCCATTGCACTCTGTTCTCTGAAGTCTTTGAACCTGGCTCCACGATTGCCCACAAGCTCTCATTTCTTCCTCATACGATCTCCTCCATGTCACCCTCAGCTGGGTGCCCAACTCGTCGTCTCCCCTTAGGATTCGACTCTAGGGGGCTGACCTGGCGCGTGATATCCGCAACCGGTCTCCTCAGTGTATGCCCAATCCATCTCCACTTCGTTCTGCATATTTTTGGGTGATAGGTTCTTGGTTGGTCCGTTGCCAGCCAGAGTTGCTTGTTGCTTATTCTTTCTGGCCTTCTCATCTGATCTTCAGTATCGAGCCAGAGTAGGTGGCAGCTGTTAATGAATGTTTGTAGTTTGTTGGAAATGCTTTTCGTGACGTGCCAAGTTTCTGAATCATCAGATAGAAGCAAGCACTGACTTGACTGACTTGGTGTTGAAATTCCGGATCTTGTTGTTTGTGGTGAGTGCAGTAGATGTGCACATTGATTCCAGACTAATGAACACCTGTCTTGGTTTTCCGACCTTGGTTTTGACATCCTCGTCTGTGCCTCCTGTAGTGGAAAGGGTGCTGCCTAGATAGGTGGAAGAGGCGACTTCCTTCAAGTTTCTCCCATTGATGGCGATGGTAGCTTTTTGTTGTTGTTGTTGTTTGGGTATCTTCATCACCTCTGTCATCTCTGTATTCACTTGAAGTCCCGTCTTCGCTGCCTCGTCTCTTTTGTCAACTTGTTAGTTTTCGCCTGTAGATCTTCAAGTTTGTGCCACAAGACACTAGACACAAGTCATCACTGTCGAAATCCAAGTCTTCTAGGTTTTTTTCCGTGGTCGAGCGTGTCCTTATCTCCTCACTGCTCACTGTTTGTTGCATGATGCAGTCGACCACAATCAGGAATATCATGTGTGATAGTAGGTGGCATCCTTGTCTTACTCCTTCCTTTCTTCACTTCAAAGGCATGACTGAGCTTTCCATTGTGGATTACTTGGTATGTGGCGTCTTCATTTAGCTGTTGAGTGAGGTTGATAAAGGTTTGTGGCACTAAAACCGTAGTGTTGAAGCAACTGCCGAATTACTTCTCGGTCGACACTGTCGAAGAGTTTTTCGAAGTGGATGAAGTTGAGGTAAAGATCTAGTTGACTGTCATTCTCTACTGTGTTTTATGATGATGTGTATTGTTGCAATTTGATCCACACATGATTTGTACTTCCTGAATCCAGCCTGTTCCGGTCGTAATTTTGAATGGAGAGTATATTTTAGTCTGTCGAAGATGATGCGACTTAATATTTTGCTTGTTGTGGATAGGAGCATGATTCCGTGCCAGTTCTTGCAAACACTTGTTCGTCCTTCTTCGGGAGTTTGACAAGGTAGCCTTTCTCCCAATCATCAGGTACCTTCCCTTCCTTCCTTCCTTGCAAACCTTCTACCATAGTGATGTGTTGTGAGCATTTCCGCTGTTGTCTCTGTGTCTGTTTTCAGTGCTTCTGACGGGATTCCATCTGGTCCTGCTGCTTTCCCACATTTCATTAGCTTTGTGGCATTCAGGACTTCTGCTTTTTTCGGAGGGCCCGTGTTCACTCGTAGTTGTGCGATTGTTGGTGGTATTTCGGACGAGTTTTTGGTGGTGTTAGTGGTTGATTCAAGGGTTTTTTAAAGTTGTCTGCCCATTGTTTCCTTTGTTTCTCTTGCTTCGTAATTAAATTGCCTTCATTATCTTTTATTGGTTACATCTGCGTTGATCTCTACCCAAATATTAACCTGGTTATTTGGTACAGTGTTGTCAAGGTCTCTCTTACCTGCAGCCTGTTCTGCTTCACTTGTGAGTGTTTCGTAGCAGTGTGTTTTGTCTTTCCGTGCACTTTTCTTCACTTCTTTATCCAGTGTAGTGTTTTATACATTGTACTCAGTTCCTCTTGTCGTTGAGCATCCTTGAACTGGTTTATCTTCTGCTTCACTATCTCTCTGTCCTTGCTGTTTCGGTTTGCATGTGTCCGTCGAGATCCATTCCTTGTTCTGTTTTTTCTTTCTTCCTAATACGGTTATGCGGGTTTCTCTCCACACAGCTTTTAAGACGTTCTGGTGTTCTTCAACGCATGTCCTTTAGGGATGTTGCTCGATGTCTCCTTCTTTGATCTGATGGCTGACGTGTAGATGTCCTTCGTAGTTTCGTGCTTCACTTTCCGTTCTGGGTGTTGAACTTGAACTGTGGTTTATCATTAGATTCCTTGAAATGAAGGCTTTCAACTTGATTTTGAATGTAGGTTCCTTGCACTGGATGGTGAGTAGTGTGAACCTACATCTCCTCCTCCCATTCTTGATCTGATCTTGTGTCCAATAGGCTGACTGCGTCTCCACTTTCTTGACACTGAGACGAAGTCGATCTGATATTCACTTTATCAATCTGGTAAAATCAAATCCATGTCACTTTGTGAATATTCTTGTGTTTGTACACACTGTCTAAAATCACCAAATCGTTGAACGCGTGGAAATCAGCGAACAGTTCTCCTTTCTCATTCATTTCACCGAGTGCTTCTCGACGCATGATTGGTTCTCTTCCTGTGTTTTCCGCTCCGAGTTATGCATTCATGTTGTCCCACACATTAGAATTTTGACGTCACCGACTGGAGTCTTGTCCAGTACTGGCTGATTGCAGTTGTCTATAGAATCCCTTCTTCTTCTCTTCATCTGCATTATTTGTTGGCGTGTAGCACTGAATGATTGTGACTTTCCTTGCTTTTGAGTTGAATCTTGCTGTCATGATCCTGGAGGAGGAGGAGGAGGAGATTGGTTCCCACTGCATGAGAGAGGACCTTCGATGCTCTTGGGATGGGGACATCATAATAGTCACTCCAGAACTCAGTGTGCTCGTTGTTGTTGTCTGGGTGACAATATCGGAGTAGATTATTAACTCTCCATTTGAGAGTTTGAAGAGTCCACTTCAAACCCATCTACTTTCTCAGATTCCTAGCACTTCCATGCCATACCTCCTCATCTCTTTTGCAATCTGGGTAGCCTTGATAAGTTCTTACATGGTGAGAATATTGCATGTCCCCACGTTTACTTTCGCTTCGTCGGGAGAAGAAAAGATGCGTGGGCCAATTGGCTTCCCGAAGGCTTTCATTGACTGGCGTCATTTCGCCTCTCCGACTCCAGCGAGGAATAAGTTTGTTTTCATTTTTAATGTTTTCTTTGTGCGTTGAAGTTTCTTTAGCGATTGGATTGGTTTTCCGGTGTAGGGTTGCTGGTCGTACGCCCTGCCTTTCCTCTTTATCCGAGCTTAGGAGCGACTAGTAACTAGTTAACCAGGCAACGCAAATATATCTTTAAAATTCTGGTGGGAAAATGAATTTCTGACATTTTCCAACCTTGTGGTACTCGCTTCTTCGTAAAATGAAATCTGACAACGTATTGTAGTGTGATGTTTACTATATTGTTATGATTGGTTACTATGGAAGAAAGCAGTCATTTACTTTATGCGGCTTGTTTGTTCACAGTTATGACTTTTTATATTCCTTTCTAGAATTTTCAGAACAAAAAGGCTAATTTTTAATGTGACTGGGTCAGTAGTTGCAGTTCTATATGGCTTCCACTTTGAGTCTGTGTGCAGTTAATTAGGTCCTTTTTCAGCTCACTTTATAAAAAGAGGTGTGTGCGAACATTTTCTGAAGCCGTCGTTTTATGTCTTATGTGCATAATTATCAGTCCGTTTACTTGTCTTATCAATCAAGGGGGTCATATTTATACGTTTACAACATGACAAACATCGACTTCATGGTCTTATTTATATGTTGATTTATATCATGGAAAAATATGACCCTTTTTACACTCAGTTTGTCATCTAACTAATGGCTGTAACAGGTTTCGTTTTAATCTACCACCTTAAAGCATCTAATTATACTTTGAAATGTATACGTAGGAAATACTTCGTACTTTCTTGGTTCACTCGTGAAACTTTACTTGTGAAATCTGAGAATTTCCGGTTGTGGATAAGAATTGGTTAGTCGATACCAACCATCATCCTTTTTTGATTCTTATGATTGATAGGAATTTATTGATAAAACAACTTAAAATGCATATTCGATCAGATGACTTGGGTTGGCGTACTTTCAGGTCATCACAGTGATTTCTAACTAATAAGGAATGATACTGACTTGGCTTTCAGGGGGAGGTAGAAGTTCCTTGCGATTATAGATATTCACTGTTGTTGAATGCTATTGAGGGGATTGTCAACATCCAGACGTTGGTATTTCTTTTCTTTTACTATTTTATGCAAGAACATTTTAAAAAATTAATTAAATGTGCATTGTTTTAAAAATTACTTTTATTCACTGTAGCCTAGACAGTGAAACGCTGAGGACATTCGTAATGTCTATGGTGTAGATATTTAAAGGCACCTTCTTTACTTTTGCGAAGTGTTGCGACTTCAACCATTTCGCATCTGTGTATGGTTCTACGTTTTTTTGTTTACTTGTTTATCTGTTTTTTTTGTCCAATACGCTAATTGGTCAAATTTTAAATCTCTACTCAACAGCAGTTATGAATGAGTTTTGGGGGACTATGCAGCCCCTCTAGTAGTTGTTGTGCCAGTCGAAGTTTCTTTAATTTCTATTCAGATTAGAATTGATTTTCAAGCGCTAACACATGTTTCTTATTATTAAGACTGGCTGAGGTTGACATGGTTAGTCAGACATATTATTGATACTCGGTTATGATTTAAATTGAAAAGGAAATCCGAGTCGCAGCAGAATTCGACCCAATGGCCTCCTGGTTAAGAGCCTGTCGCTCGACCAATCAAGCTAGTGTGATCACGATGAGCAGATAGTTACTTATCTTACATTGACACGATAGTTGGACAAAGCCCTCGGTGATTGAAGCGAAATTAAGATTTAGTCGATAGCTGGATCTTGTAGATTGGTTGGCAAGGAGCCGGGTCGGTAACCTGTAGGCCACTGTTTCGAAACCTGTCACGACCTGGGTTTTCATGTCACCTTCAACCACCACCTAGTTTTAATATATTTCTTAGTTAACAATAATTATCCACCATAGAATGTATATTACCGTCGAGTGACTCAAAGTAAATCTTCATAATTTCATCAGATTCATTCCGTTTGTGCTAGAATGAACGACGGAACACTATGACTATGCCATGTGTAATATACTGGGTCATCAGCTTAATACAAACACGTATTTATATTTACTTAATTGACAGCTAGGAATTCCTTGTAATCTTTTGTCTGTTACTGCTCAGTTGTTTTTCGGATTGCTGTCACCTGAAACTTGTTTTTGAAAAGCCAATGGTCGCTTAAACTCTCATTTTAACATTCTTTTCTCCTTTCTATTTTGTTAAAACATCTCAGTGATCATTATTGGAGTCAACGTATAATGTACTTTTCTCATGAGATTCAGTCATGAGTCGTGTATAGATAAGGTTTCGATGAACACTTCAAAGCGTGTGTAACAGTTCGAGATGATCACTAACAATTTGTTCGAATATTTGTAAGTCTACTGACTTGATTCAACCAGCACTAAAAAATTAGGTAGTGTAGCATTTATAACTATTCGGCAATCTCTTAGCCGAACTTAAGTGTTCTATATCATTAACAAATCCTTGAGGTGCGTCACCTTATTTTCCTCTAAAAGTATTCCAACAATTTGTACTTGTAAACTTGCCGATAAACAACCTTTTTGATTTGTTAATTTTAGCTTTCTCTAATGAAACAGAAATTCTGTTTAAATGAGAAGAAACTTGTAGAAAGTCAACAATTACTCGAAGATTGTCAAGTACAAATTTCCCAGTTAACCAGTGAACTGAAATTACTAAAAGAACAGGTGGAACAGCAAGCATCAAATCCGATCATTGAAATTGATGTATGTAATAGAAATACTCCTCGGATTAACAACTTTAATGATGATAAGACTGCTAGTTACGAAGATAAGCCAATGCACTTTAGTACATTTAAACAATTGCTTTTAAGGAATACTATTGAACAGACATTAACACTGCTAGAAAGTAATCGAACTGCTACTGGACAGTCAAACGAATTAATGGATATTTTTATTCACTGCTCACCAAGTAAGTATACAATTAAAGCATACATTGACCTCGTTATATTTTTTATGATTTTGCCTCCCTACCTTATCACTTGCTGAATTCGCTCACATTATTTTGCCCCTTGTTTGAAGTAAAAGTTTCCCTCCTTTCATTTTTTTACTGTTTAACATTCGAACAAGCTTAGGGATGATAAATCATTTAGTTATACTAAGAGTGAACTGTTTTCTGAGTTAAAAACCAATACCATCTAGGATATTCTACTGATCATCATCAAAGCAAGTTGAGGATTGTTAGAAATAATGATTTTTCCATGTGGATTTGTACGAATCTCTTCTACTCAACCGATGCATAACTGAAATCTCCAATTTTATACATAAAACTGGGTATTGCTTTCAACATTGAAAATTCATTCACATCTTGTCTTTTAAATCTCTAACATCTTATCATTGGGTGACTTGTGGTCATTACTTTAGATTGCTACCTGTACCTTATTCGGCTTTTTATTCCTATTCATATTGCATTGTCTTTTATTTTATTTTCCTGTTTGTTAAATTTCTCCTACTGTACTAATGTGAAGTGTGACAACTGAAAGATACGCATAGATGTGTTTGCTTTCATTCCACTTGTCTCTGGAGATCAGGTGTTGCTAGTGTGCACAAATAATTTGGATTAAAACAATGTCTACCTTTGTGTTCTACTTCCTACTTCCTTTCATCCTGTATACATAGGATAAAATGACTGGGTTCATTGCCGAACTAAGGTTGATATCAGTTTGATCGGATATTTTAACAGTTAATCTCTCCCGTTATCCTGATATGTATGTGTGAAGGCAATTAAAAGGAACCCCTGGACCTAGGTTTCTTGATTACTTCGAGTCAGGTCCAGGTTTCTGAGAGAACATCAGTCCCCTCGATGTTGCAGATACACCTTACTGATGAGTGCCTATCTCCGTCAATCAATTAAAATCAATCAGAAGAAAATGGTGATAATTATTTTTTGTGGCTCGTTGGCTCAAGCAGTTGACTTTCAACCAGTAGGTCATGGGTTCGAACACTGTCCTACTTGCCGAAGTCTTAACAGTCGGGTTGTAAAATTAGCCCTCACAAAATAGGTTTTGTTCACTGACTTTTGTACGAATTTGCGCTGTGTTGCTGAATGTGTCTCTCTCTCCATTCTGTGTGCTTAGTGAAAACATTAAAGTGCAGGAAATTAAACCGATATATTTCTGTGCCTGGTTCTACATCAGTTTGATAAAAGTTTAATCTTACAACGCAACTCAATATTCGAACTAGCAACGTGAATCCTAGTATAACTAGTTATTCATACAGTTTGATTCTTAGTATTTTACCCCCACTATTCAATGTAGTTCTGTAAATGCAGTACTTATTTTTAAGCATATGCACTTATTCAATATTAAATGTCACATGCTTTGTTATCTATTATTTCAGATTACTTTTTGAATGAAATGAATGAAACGATTAACCATTTCATTGAATTAGAATCAGCACTAACTGAAAACTGGTTTGATTCAAAAGGTATCAGGAACTTTATTTTGTTTCTTCAGTGCTCAACTGAATTGTGCCTTTTTTTAAAAATTTTCATTATAAAACGTTTTCATGAACTATAGTTGATTTGGTTCACGAGTGAACAACTAATGAGCTTTTGATGGATTTATGTGTATACGGAGGTGATCACCTTAACGACAAAAGATGAAGCTGTTAGTATTAAAATTAGTTGGTTATCATTGTGATCAACAAGGGTTGTTTTAAAGGTTAGGTGTGTTTTCCTGATACAATTCACTGCAGTGGATAATCGTCTTTTTAGTATCCTTCATTTTAACTCAGTAATAATAAAGCCGTATCACCTGCTGACTAATGTGACTTCTAGTTCACCGGATGAAAACACGTTTAATGCTGTCAGCTTTCCACTTTCTAAATCCCGTTTAACTGAATCAGAATGTCTAAATATTGAGCATGATTCACATTTACAAATTTCAATTCAATAGTGTATTATCTATTTGTGAGTCTATGTAATGACTCTGCTCAGTGGCAGGCAATGAAGGCCGAAACAACTTAGGAAACAGCGGTCGTTCGTGGTTCCCTTGGGGAACAGACGATTAAAACTATGAGCAGAACATTCGAAACAACATTCCAACGGGTCTCCAGCCATTCTTCAGTTATCGTGTATTCGGCTGCATTCCGAATGAAGCATTGAGATAAAGCCAATAACGTTTTTAGAAGTTGGGGAAACATTTAATAACCTTTGATGAGGAAGTAAAAAGTATTGATGAGTTTTCACTGAAGTGTAACTCTATATTCATAATTTGACTTACGAATGTAACAAATGTTGTTTGAATATCATACATGACCTCTTCTGACTAGTTCCAACTGCCAGTTGTACCAGTCTTCAAGAAAGCAGTAATATTATCTGAAAGGCAGAGGGGAATCAACTTAACTAATAGTATCAATGATCCCAAATTTTTCCATATTAGATTTGTTTATTTGATTTATAACACACTGTGACCTAGTATTATTTACTTGACGTTTTGAGCATAAATTATTGCTCATAATCATATCAATGTAATCACACTACTTTCGACATTTGATTTTTATAGTTACGTCACTTTATATGAGTTGTTTTTATTGGTAGCAAAATTTTTCATATCTCTGGTACAGGTGTTGCGTCATTTCGATTACATGTGTTGTGTGTTGATTCGATGAACAAGGATTCAGTAATCAATCTCTTTGTCCACCTAATTATATTGGACTTAAGCACAATGGCTTTATCCAACCCTATTGTGTGGTTGTGTGTTAATGCAGGCATAGCAATAGCCTAGGTTTTTTTTCTAGATTATTGATTTTATTTAGGTCTGTTATTCTATATTTAAATAAATTCCTATGTTCGTCTATTCTAACTGACCCCAACCGACTAGTTTGACCTATGTACTTGACCCGACTCACAGTCATTACATGGAATTTAATAGATTATATTATTTTGCTTAATTAGTTCTATCGGATCCTTAAGCCGACAAAGTTTATCTCTGAGTGAGTTTGTAGGTTTAAATGCCACTCTAATTCCTGCTCTGTTGAGGATTCTACGTAAAGTTTCTGAGGTACCCTCCTTATAGGGTAATACAATGGAGGCTGTGATCTCTTTTTTACTCGTGTTGCCGTTATTAGTCGCACTCGTGTGACTGTTATTTTTCCTTTTTTGTGTGTCCGTAAGAATTTTTTAATAAAGTGCGGAGGATAATTAATAACTATTAGCGCTTCTTCTACGTGTTTCAATTCCTTGTTTAGGTTCTTGCTCTCACCAGTCAGTTGTCTAGCTCTGTCCCTTAGACATATGACTAATCGTGCCTTAACTGACATTAGATGAGATTATCTGAAGTCTAGATACCTGTTGGAATGTGTTGGTTTTCTGTAGACAGTAGTATCCAAGCTACGAAAACTTTGCTACCAATAAAAACAACTCATATAAAGTGACGCAACTATAAAAATCAGATGTCGAAAGTAGTGTGATTACACTGATATGATTATGAGCAATAATTTATGCTCGAAACGTCATCAAGTAAATAATACTAGATCACTGTGTTATAAATCGAATAAACAAATCTAATATGGAATTAAATTCTACAACAGTGCTCAAGTTTTACACCTATATTAATGATCCTAGATTTTATAATCATTAAATGGTTAACTGGCGCTTGTCAACACCAAATGAAACAAAACCATTTAGTCTTAAGGATTGACCATAAATGTGCTGATAAAAACTATGCTCTTCACCAAATTTTGGAACTTAGATATACTGAATAGAGCATGAAAATAAGTTCATATCGTGAGCTAAAGGCACATTCGACTTACTAAGTGGAACGTCCAGCAGGCAAATGACCTTACTGAAGCCCTTGAAAATGTATTTTATGCCTTTTTCTTCTCAATATAGGTTGTTGCTTCAGAACTGTTCAGTGTGAATATCTCATCTGATGATAGGGAGTAAAGTGTTTAAGTGTACTGATCATTTTACTTACTTGAGAAGTTGAATCGACTCTGGTGGGTTAGTGGCTGATGAAATCTTGACGTGGGTCCGAAAGGCTCAATCGGCCTTGATCAATGTACATCACTTTTAGCAGCAGCTAGATATTCGTTTTCTAGCTGATGATCGCATTTGCTGCTCAGTCCTTTCTGTCTTACTACAACTGCGAAATATGATCATTAACGTTAGGGGAAATAAGAAGCCTCGAAGTGTTTTTCGGTTACTGACTGAAGCTCATTGGTTTTCTGTCATGAGATCATCATATAGATAATTTAACCATCAGTTAATCGGGTCTTAAGTAAAAGATCTAAACTGTTTTAACGAAGTTGTTAATATTTATCAACTGAGATCGCTGGGACATGTGTTTCGCATGCCTCGTCACCGTCTATCCTTTTGCATAATGTTAGATGAAGTGGGCTTGGGTTGTGAAAAAGTTAAAGTAGTCAGATTAAAAAGTGCCATCCATCCATGAAGTTTGAGTGTCGATTTGAGGTATGTGGATGTACTTTCATTAGTTGAAGACTATAGGTGACATGCCTCAGAATCAATGTTAGTGGAACAGATTCATTCACACCTTATTCGTCATATCACATTTATTTTATTGCCTCATCGCCTCTTCCTTTCTTTGTACGGCTTTCTACTAATGATGGTTAGATTGTTCGATTTTTTTTACTTTTACATGATTACTTAATATTTTGATGTGGTAATACGAAGTATGACAGCTAGGGTCGGGCTACGTAGTAATAACAAGCCTTATGTTGATATTGAATAACTTGTATTTTCCTCCGAAGGCCCTAATTTTTCGCCTACTCGAAGCAAGCTTATTCATTGCAGTTGGTAGCGAATATGAGTCCGAAAAAGCATATACCATCCATTTTGACTAATTCACATTTACAACCTTATCAATAACAATACATCCTCTAATCAAACTGATGCTCTTCTAGGGGTTAGTTCTCACGTCATCCAGTGTTGCAGTCAGGGATGTTACCATCGATGCGTTTGAGTCAGTATATCAGTTTCAGTCAGCAAAATTCATCCGGTATTTAGAAATAAATAGAAGGGGAATGGATGAGCTTCTGTGAGCAATTAGTGTTTGATATGAATAAAAAACATACATAGTATCATAGAAACATAGTAATTTTGTAATGTTAACTCAACGCGTAACCCTAAGTCCAGTATCACTTTTATATTATATTGCAAACAGAAGTAGTTGTGTAACTGTTCAAATACTTAAAATTTTACCTTCGTATTTCAATCATTATAATAACAGTGAATACGGTGAGAATAAAAAATAAAATGATGACATTAGCGGTAAAATAAAATTGAATACAAGGTAAACAAAGTAATAAAAGGAAGTAAAAGAGTATAGCAAATTAGTAAAAAATTTCAAGCTGTTAAGAAACATGTCATTTATGCAGTTTAGGATATTAAATGCTGATTGGTTCATTTTGTACTTTAAATATGCTGTTTTATTTCCCCTTAGTCAGGGCCAGTAAAAGGTATATAACCGACTGAACTTTCAGTAGTAATCTTGCCATTCAATTGGAGTAAATACACTTTCAATCCCATCGTCTTCTGGTGTCAGCTGAATAGTGTGTTGAGAAGTCATTGTTCTATCGTTAATCGTATGGTGTCGGAGCATTATATATATATATATATATATATATATATATATATATATATATATATATATATCTGAATGTTAATTTTTTTTTACCATCAATACATCTTTTTTATTTTTGTACAAGGAGTTTATCAAATTCCATTTCATATCAACCAGTTCACTTCTAAACTGTCAATACTGTCTATCTATTCTAAGTCAATGTCTCAGTCGGACAACGATAACGATTACTCACGTGGTAAGCAGTGCAATTTTTATAATTCATCGTTTCTTTATGATTATCGTAAATAACTTTGGCATTTGTAAGTTGCATTTTACACATTTTTGAGAATCTATATTATAATCTATCTTGGCGATTCATTCTGATTAATAAAAATTACTAATTTGTAAATAAGGCTTAATTAAATCCATCACTTCATGAAGTTTTGGACTATCGATTTGATCAGCATAGGCAGGTATAAGTTTCCTGGCTGCGCTCCTTGAGATAAAAGGAGTCAATGGTTGGAGAATTTCGGTGACACGGGTGAAAATGGATAACACGTGTCAATGTATAGAGTCTTTGTGATCTTTGAACTTTTGCATATTTCCAATAGCCTTCATCTGTTTATTGTCCCAACTTTCATACACATTCGTTAACCTTAATTTCCTTCTTTTTCTATCCGCTTCTTTTTTCCATGCTGCTGAGAAGTATGACAACTTGAACCGATACATTTTTGTGTCAGGTTCTACATTCTATCTATCTATCTGTCTCTGAGATAAGGGCTGAACGCATCCTCATTGTTACTGAATGTTGAAGTAATACTGAACTGTAGTGAATGTGGAAAAATAATTTTAAAATAGTAATCAAAGATAATGTCCCCTGCGAGTACATTCACGGAAGTTTATAGAGTCAGTTTTTAAGTTGAATCGAGATTCACTCGGCAACCATATGCACGTTCTTGCAGTTGATAATGTGCGCACCTATTGGGTTACGGTTAATGGTACTACCAAACTGTCTAGTTCTCTGAAAGTGTAGCGGGCTTCAAACCTGTTACCCGCTGGTTAAACGTCAAATGCTAGTACCTATGAACTATAGTTCCATCAAAAAGTCAAATGCTTTCATCTCACCAGGTTTTTTGATGCGAAATATCCGAGATTGACTCTGCGTTTACTCCAACAGAAACATAATGATCAAGAGAAGGTACAAATAACCTCTTGTTCTTCGTCAACTTTCAACTACTTACATTTGACAAGCTACTGGTGTTTTCTTTTGGACATGACAAAACCCTCTTAAGATTCCTTTTTATGCATTTACGCATAATGGATGGTAATTTATCAGAGAATAAACATAAGGAGATGTTTCTAGGTAAGCATATATTCTTTTTTAAAGATAAATGCTTTATGGATGAAAAAAGGCCTACCAACATCGCTTCATAATGACACAAATATTTGAAAAAGCTTCAATTTATGAAGTAATTAGCAAATGATTGCTCATTACGGGTTAACCTCGAGGTCGACTTCTTATGTCTTCACTGAAACCTGTGATCTTAAAAGTCATCTAAGTGGGGAATCAAAACGTCCGTTCACCCATCACAATGGGAAATATTCTGTCTGTATTGTGAAATAATGGAGGTTGAAAAATATTAACCACTGAATATATAGCCTTTTGGCTGAATAGTAAAGCTTCCTCCACAATAGCCCTCAGGGTTCTGACTCCAGTCTTGCTTGGATTTGGGGGACTTAGCCACTTGAAACTTGAATGAACACGCTTTATGTGGTCTGTGTAAGGGATAAACTACCATTTCTAGCCACCTCCATATGTGTTTATCGATTCGTCTGTTCTTGTGGAGCTGGTTATATAGGCCAAACAAAGCGTGTTCATTCAAAATGTATTTCCGAACACTATCCTGTATGGTTGTCTAAAGGAAAGTATAAAACTGTTAACAGGTCGATTCTGGAGCATTTGCTTATCTCTGGTCAGTGTGTCCTGCGAGAGTCTTCTTTCAGGTATTTATTAAGTGAAACCAGACATTTCGAAGCGAGTGAGTATTCGCCACCTCAACACAGTAGAAGCTCTTGCAATCCAACATTATAAGCTTGCTCTTTGAGTTCAAAAAGTATATATTGAATCTCTGATCTTGCCTTGGTCTTGATTTCTCCAATACAGTTTATTCATTTCTTGGTTTATTTACTATAATCCCACAAATAATTTTTCTGACCTTGGTCTGACCTTCTAACCGTTATCACCTTGTGACTCTACTGACCGTTTTCGATGACTTAGTATTGACCTATTAGCTATCGATGTATATATTGTTGTAACTATGATGATGATGTACAATTTTTGAGAATGATTCGTCAAAAAGAAAGTTTTCTTCGGTGAAGTATCTTTTATTACTTTTCAATTAATTCTTGTCAAGTGACACCATGACAATAAAATTATCTCAGTTCCAACTTTTTCGTTTTAAACTGCTGTTTAAGGTTTAAACAGTTGTTTATTTGATTATCACGTCTTTTTATCCTACTAAAAAACATTTCTCAATACAATAAATTCTACTTTAGTAGTGCGATAAAACTAATCCTTTTTCACATCAGATGCACTGCACATCTGTTAGTACTCATGCATACCCTGGACTTGTCGTTTATGTTCTCGGAGTGACTATCTAGTCTAATTGTCATGAGTTTCTTCAGGAAACTAGTAGTTTTGTTATTTGTAAACATTTATCTTCCTTATTAAGAAGCTAAGGAAAATGAAATATGATCACAATGGTTTACAGCCTTATCGTCTAGGACCTGAAACGACAGACACTACATTCATACATCAGTGGTAAAACAAGCACTTACTGCGATGTGCTAACCAAGTGTTAAATAGGACAAAACCTGTGTCCTAGTCTTCACACACTTACCACCTATCAAGTAGTACGATATACTTTGATGCAATCAAACGATAACTTTATGGAGTTACTAATATACAAAGATATAAACGGTAGACATTCATGGTTATCAAGTGGCAATAATGATACATTTCTTCCTGTGTTGTTTATTTTTTAGAGTGGATGGTAAAATTTTTTGTCTAAACTAATTCTATCTATCAAATTCTTTTTCATTGCAGATTATTTAAAGAATTTTGATTTAATTCAAAATGAATTTGTGAAGTTACTTAATATTTTACAAGCTAACATTAGTACTAATCTGGATCATAGAGATATTAATGATAATGACGGTGGTACAAGTAATGCTTATCACGAGATAAGAGAATATTTATCGACAATTCATCATCATTTAATCACTGTATTTGAGGAGGCAAACAAATCATCATCAAACTGTTTACCTAGTGATCACAATGCTGATCTTCGTTCTTCATCTGATCTGATACAAAAGGAAATGGAATCAACCTTTGAGACCATCTCACTTGCAGAATATAAATTCCGTGTAAGCCATTTTTATTTACCATATGTATCTTACATGGTTATGCGTTTTGAAGGTATCAAATATATAATAATAGTCTATTCTCATGATACCCGGTTCACATTCCTGTCAATTTGATTAACAAGTTTGGTTCGAATTGATCACGATTTTCTTTCGTATAGTTACCTGTAGTATAACCACTTGATAGAGAATCTAAATTTCTAGTTATTCAATGCAAACTGTGTAAACCATGCACCTTCGTTATATACTTTTTTATAGTTATAAGAAAGATGAAATTCCTTTTAATTTGGATGCAAACTGATTTATACATGTCAAGGTATCCGTTTTTTATATGAGTACCTCAATTTAAGAGTTGAATGTTTCTCTAAATTATTCAGTATTGGCTAATTTTGGAACTCAGGATATGTTCATCACTTTGGTCCTGAGAATCAAGCTTCAATACTAAATTATACTCTTGAAGTAAAAAGTGATCACTCTTATTCAATACCAGTATGAATCCAGTGCCAAACATTGCTGTAATATGAATTTCAGTGGTGGCACTAACCTAATGGATGCAAATATAGCGAACTGATCAATTTGAAATAGGGATAAGCATTCCTGCTTACTTCCATCGCTAGCTAGCTAGGTGAATGATTTTCATGTAGTGATAAAATTATACCATCCCAACACATAAAGTTTAGAATCTCCGGTAACTGACTGAATTAACTCCGCCGTGTAATCATTAAGGTTATTGACTTCTTTCGTGAATGGTGTAAACATTTGTCAGTCCACTAATTCTAGTTTACTGGATAACGAAATTCCGTAGTCACATGCGCTGATTGAAATAGTTTACAACTGTTATTAGTAATTGTAAATACTGACCAGTTAATATATTTTATATTTGCGCACCGTTTCATTTGCTTTATTTTAAGTTTTGTTGATTTTCGTTAATACTTTCCAATCTTTGATGTATTTGTTACGTTTGAGATATGTGACTGTCAGGTTGTGAGTTACTGTGTAGTCCACTATCTCCTGTCATATAAATGCGAGGCATACCCGTTGAAAGCTGATGACTGAGAAAGGTTGTAGGTTTTCAATTATAGGTGTTTTGATAAGACTGGGTTACGTTTCGTGTTCTAGTTGACAAAGACTAATCAGTCGACATGGTTATGTAACTGCATCGTTTAGGTAATCGGGATATATGCGGTGTATATTGACTACCGCCTAGGTCTTTGCGGGATAGTGACTGCAAAAGACATTCACATTAAAGAAAACCTAGGTTTTTAGTCTTTGATACTTGTAGTCTTTCGTTGCTATACTGTGTGGAATTGGTCGACCGCTGTTAGCAGATGAGCTCCTATTCGGATACCTCCTGACTATTCATTAGGTTGCAGTCTGCTTAGTGACTAGCAGATGGATGCCAGAACGCACATTCGGTCTCATTTCTAACTCGCTAGCTGGATGTACCTGCACCCCAGAGAATGATATTCTTACCACTGAGACTAGAACCCAGTGCCCATCGCTTCAAACGCCTACTGGGTAACGCTTAGATGTTTGAAGTAATGAGTACTGGGTTTCAGTCTCAGTGAAAATAACACCACTCACTGGGGTGCAGGTACATTCAACTGACGAATCTCGAATACGACAGAAATGCACATCATAGATTCCAGTGCTAGTCAGCAAGCAGATGACATGACTTAGGTTATTCAAAATAGGTAGGATTCTTCAAAGGTATATATTAGCCTAGCAGAATGGTTTCAGTTGTTGTTATCTAGTCAGCGGTATTTTATCAATCAGTAGTTGGCGAAATGACTCAGAATCTATCGCAATAGTCCTGATACATTCACCCTTTATTTTCGACATAATACCGAACACTTTCGTGTATTTCTTCTTCGTTTTTGGATTTCTAGTGTCACTTTTAATGTGTTTTCCTTTTTACATTCTGTACTATAGTGAAGTTTTGTTAACTGGACCGAGCCACTATTGTATTATCTCTAATATATTTTTGGCAAATCAGTTCCTTATATAGAAAGATGCTTAACAGGAATCAAAACATGATTTATTGTGGGAAAGGAATATAAAGTTTGATATTACTTTTCAGATGACTCACTTTTAATGTGGTTGATCAGCATTTTGTATAGCTAATAGGATTACTTTACTATCGACGTTTTTATCTAAAAAAGATTATCTTTATTTGTAGATGATTACTTCAACCTGAAGTTATCCGACATCATAAATTTAGTTTCGGTACATACCAATATCTGCACGGCATTTGTTCGAATACAGAAATAATGAGTCATGTGGATACTAAAATGGAAAGTTAAAAGAACCTCAATGATTGCTGCATGTATGTAGTCAAGAGCATTTTGTAGGGATTGTAGTGTCACTTGCGAAAATTAAAAAGCACTTGGTGCTGTGATATAAATTACAAATATTCACAGTAAAATGTCCAATGAACAGAATTAAAAAATTCAAAGTTAAAACAGGGGTTGATATGAATTTCTGAAAGTTTGTTCCCCCTAACGTTTGAAAATTGATGCTACATATACAATGTACAATTCGAATGTTAATAATAACTAATTCTATCACCTAATGAGCAACTTTCCTCATGAAAGATGTCTGAAATACATAATTTTGCTGTGTATTGGAATGCACAAGCTGAGTGTCGGTATACGAGAGAAAGGGTGTGTGAAGGACTAATCTAGACATCTTGATCTTACAGTACAAGGTGCCGATTTTTTATGCACTTCCACCTACCATGCAACACATCAGTAGTTCTTTAAAATCCAACAGTCGCCGATATACTATATGACATCTTTCATCGATTATGCTCAATCGCATCCTATTTGTGTCTATATTCCACTTATACTGCAGTGTATGCATCAGACTTATCGTTCTTTTTTAGTGATCACCGAATTTTATTTGTAAACTGGGCATCTAAGTTGCTCAAGTGTTTCAGAAAGTGTAGAATAGCATCAAATATACCTTTAATATGCCATAAGATTTTACGAAAGGATTTAAAGAATGTTCTTATCTGTAGTGATGATGGTGTATATTCGCTATTATAAGTAAGCTTTTCAACTGTTATTATGAGAATCAGGTCAGCTTGCAAGATGGTAAGCTGTTCAGAAGTTACTGTTTTGTCTCCTAATCCGGGAAAGATTTGTTCAAGTTAACATCATTTCTCAAAGCGGTAACTGATGTTTCTTGTTCAGTGTTTGTATTTGATGAATGCATTCTTTGAAATCGGAAGGGAAGATAAATTTATAATTAAGCAATATTATTTCGTATTGTTATTGTAATACTATAAATTTTTATGCTACAACTAAAAAAACAGTCATTTGATATTCATTTGGCACACATATAAATAGTATGAAATGGTTGAATTCACTTACCAGTTTGGATTATGTATTTTTCGTATATATATAAATATCTTATTTTTATTTTAAAGGATTTAATTGCAGAATCTAAAAAGCATTCAGCTAATAATGAACATCTTCAAGTGAATTCATTAATATTGGATTGTTGTTCTGAACTTCTACTATGTGTTGGAGAATTAGTTAAACAGTCTGAAATGATTCAACAAGATATTAAAGTATGCTAGTTTTTGATTAGTTCTGTGTACACTGTTTTCCTTAAATGGAAAAGTATTTTCTTATATTGAGTTGAATTATTTTAAAAATTGATTCTTTTCACTGATAATTCCATTCATTCTTACTGTCTTATAACTTTTCAACATAATCCGGTATTCCGTTTGTAACATTTATTTAGGCTTCATGTATTCATATAAAGGAAGTTAGTTAATCAATGTAGTAATTTCAATTTAGAGGTTTGTGGGGATTTATTTATTGATTTCAGGTTGATATTTTATCATGAACTGACATCAGTTGGAGAACTATTGAACACCTGGGAGCACTGGACAGCTGTTTTGCCTTAGTGTGAGATTCCTCGTCAGCGTCCACCCATGTCCTCGCTAGGGATCTTACCCAGAACTTTCAGGTCCCATGATCAGCACGTTACGATTGAGCCACTGGGTCGAGATCCAGCGGTCCACACCTACTTCTGTCAGTTCATAATGTATTTCAACCTCCATCGAATACCATGGTTGAGTAACTGTCATCATGTTCGACTTGATTGACTCTACCGGTCACGACTTCTGACTAGAATCTCCGGAATCTGGCGTCATGGGTTCACACTGCTGAGAAGTTCAATACTGGGACGAAACAACTATCCAGCACTACCAGGTTTCCAATGCTTCTCCAATCAATGTCAGTTCATGATGAATATCACCCTTATTCATTAATTTTTAAAACTGTGAATGTATTTGTTGCAAATTTTCTATGTTGTCTTTCATAGGATTCTTCAACATTACTTGAATTTTATAAGCCACATAATCGTTGGACGAACGGTTTTTTATCGGCAGCTAAATTTGTTGGTGCTGGAGCTAATGTGATGGTGTAAGCAATTTTTACGTTATACTTTTTGGTTTTGCAGAATAATGTTTGTGATCCTCATTTCGACTAATGAATTGATTGAAAATAAATGTACTGTCAACTGTGGTATGTAGCATTTCAGTATCTAAGTATTCCACTGTTGTATTCAAGACTTTTCAAATAATATACATTGCGTTTTTAAGATGTACATCCTGTTCTTAGTATATCCGAATATTGTATGCTTCTACATACTTCAATAAAACCAGACAGAATAAAGGTTTGGAACTTTTAGGCTAAATATTCCACCCTACACGTCAATTAGGGTGCAGTCAGTTTATCGGTTACTCTCTCCTCTCACTTAAGTCTTCAGTTAGAAAAGCTATAGTTTATGTGATATTCAATCATATGATTGGCGGTGAATATCATACTGAAAATTGCTAACGATGAATTATCAGTTTGACTATCTGAAGTAGCCGTGTTTTGATACCATGTGATGATCGGAGGTGAAATGAAAATTTGGGCTGAGGCCAAAGCATAATAATTTAAGGTAGTTCAAATGATAATCTATATGATGCTTGCCCTCTCTAATTCAAGAAGTTTTGCATTTGGATTAGAAATCTGGACTAGACGGACAGGCAGTGAAAGTGTGATCAAGCAGTAGTAAGGTGTCACTAATTCACATCGTAATGAGGTGAAACGATTGATGATTGAAGTGAAGTAAAAATGTTATCAGCAGTTGGTAGAGCATCGGGTCGAAAACTCGGTGGTCACTGGTTCGAACCCTGTCGCGTCTCAAATTCTCATTTCACCTGCAATCATCACCCAGTATCAATACTGAATCACACTTAAATTAAAATTTGAGACGACTATTCACTGCCTCCCAGTTATATTCTAACTATATTGTCATGATTTATCTTGGATAATAAGTTAAGTGTAAGTTGTCTTAGATATTTGTGATACTTGCGTTTCTTTAATTTGTTTACCTACGAATTAAATCTTTGGCATATTTTCTGATGAATACTTCAACTATAATTCATTGATATCCCAGTATACTTCAAATTCTTCTTGTTATCGATGATATGTGAGATAAGATGTAGGCCAGCAACTCGTGTAAATAACCAATGCCTATTGTGTTGGGGCTAATGATTCTACCCGGTTTTACAAACCTCGGTAAGTGGAGTTGGGTTCGAACCCGTGACTCACTGGCCGAAAATCGACTGTATTCAGCCACAGCATACAATATATTTTTGTTTGTAAGAACTCGCAGTGTATTTCAATTTAGTTGGAAGTGTTGTTTGTATCACAAACTTACTACGTATTTATAAGGATGCACTGAGATGTTAATAGAATTCTACCTACTAGGTAAATTTAGGAGAGAATAGGAAATGGGAAGCATATTCTACTGTTGACACTTTCAACTATTCCTTGCCATCACAACTAAACCAGATTACTAGTCGTTATTATGAGAAGGTTAATAGCTCTTTGGCTTATTTATTCAACTGTTAGTCCGTCAATCTTAACTTTGAACCTTACCTCTTGGGGTTTAGAATCGCAGGTATTAACAAAATCCATTATAAGCTTTGATGAATCAATTTGTGACTAGCGAATTTTTATGACAACTAATTTTCACCTTCTTTTCATCTCATTTCTTTTTTTAAATCAGTGAAATAGCAGATGCGATTGTCTGTGGTAAAGATGTGAAACTAGAACGTTTAATTGTAATATCGCAAGAAATAGCTGCTAGTACAACACAATTGGTTTATGCTACACGTGTGAAAACCAATCCAGAGTCTGAAATGTTTAACAAATTACAATTAATTAGCAAAGAGGTATGCAAATGTACTGGAAATTTGATCGCATGTGTAAAGAAGGTCATCGAAGCAAAACATATGGAAGGTATGACTTATTTAAAATGTTCAATGGTCTGTAATATTTATTTAGTGGTAGTAATCCTTAACAAGGATTATAAACCTTTATCATGATTGTAAAGTGTTTGGATTACTGCTATCATATATTTAAAGTTTGACAACTGACCTCAACAAATTGGTCACTATTGACATACCGAGTGCCAAGCTAGTGTCTTCGATAAATTGATCAGCATTTGTTACATGATGAAATATTAGTGCATCTACGTAATTTACTGTGTGCTACAAGAAAAAATTGATCGTTTATCGTACATTAGATAATCGATAAAATCTTAGTGTTGCAATGATAATTTCACTGTCTCAACCAGAGAATCACTAAAAAGCAGAAAACATTGGACATCAACGGCATAGCAGTTTGAAACTCTTTGACCGTTCACACTGTATAACTTCCTACAAATCATAAGGTTTAACCGGTAGCTGATGAGAACGTTGAAGCAGATAGATGAACGAAGAAATATAATTAATTTTGATGATGACTTCATAGTTTCAAAATATGAAGCAACTTCTGGACGATTCTCATTGGTCTCTTACAAGTATTCATCGTTTTTTAATGAATAGATATCTTCAAATTAATGACATCATCAGTGCTGCTTACCTGAAACCTTACATTTATTAAAGAGAAGTATGAATCTAAAATAGGGTTAATGTATACTTCCTACTGATTAAGTTTTAACATTTTAGCTTCAATTACAATGGAGTACAGTGTCTTGTTGAGATTTATTAATCACTTTTCACACCTGAACGTTAAATTTTGATCAGCTCCATGACATTGAAATGTCCACTGGTTACCATTCTAGTGCTAATTTCTGTCAAGTATAATTTATATAGATTGTGATTCAAAATACCTTTCCTAATGAAACTACTGAATAACTGTTAATCTCATATATATACTTGTACTGTCTACATCACTATACGAATTACATGGATAATTAGTTGAATACTTCAAGGTTAAATGGAATCGGCTTTTAACATCTCATCCATCATTACTTCTAAATTGGTCAGGTAATTGTTTTAATTATACAAGACAGCTAAGTTGATATGTTTTAATAAAATATTCATACTTTAAGATTTGTACAAATAATACATATGTTTATATGAAATGGTTTGTAATTAAGGTCAAAAAATCCAAGTAGTTTTGCGTCAAAGTAAGAAAAATGAACAGATAAGTGCAGAACCTCGTAAAAAACTGCTACACTTCATTGTGACTATACATCAGAAAATGTCGAAAATTATTCTAATGACTAAAATGAAGTGAAACGAAGAGCGAATTCAGAAGAAGATGCATGACGAATAAACTCACATCTTTGTAAATAATTTCAAATGATATCTCTAAAATTTTACAGTCATGTATTCCAAACATATAAACGGTTCCATTCAGGTAATTTACGCACCTAAAAAACTAGTAATCAGTGAATTCATGAAGTGACATAATATCTGGGTTTTTCCATCCTTAGTGTTCTTTTGGTTTAACCATAATCTATTCGTCATCAAATTTGATGAGTAATACTGGCGTTACTTTCGTTAACTGACTTACATTGTCATTATAAGCTCATGCAATAAGTCTGAATTCCACTTATATACTTGGTGCTGTGAAATCAGCGATAAGCTAATATTTTGAACCCAGATAAGTCATTTGATTAGGTTACACAACAAATTTATTCTCTTTTCTCAATCTGGATATCAGTGCATGCGACTTTTCTGGTATCAACTTACATTCGATGTATAATGCATCCGAAACATTTTAAACTTTGTAGCGATATCATTTAACAGGATCATATTTTCCATATCCTGTGAGTCAGTGTGACCTTTAATCACCAAGTATTTGTAGGTACAAAGAGTCGAGAAAGTTTATTGTGGACAATTATTGGTGTGTGTAAAAATACACCAATGATTACTGTCACCTTGGAAGAAAACTCAACATAAATCCCCATACATCTGTGTGTATTTAAGTAGACAATTTTCTATAACGTGAAATACTTATTTGTTTGTATTCCTTTTACAGTTAGAGATTCCTAAAAATCCCTTAATTAATGAAGTCTTATATCACATGCATATCAAGAAATATTTTTTTCACCTGTAAGTGTTCCTGCATTTCAGAACCTATCAGATAGAGATCTGTCTTGTTTATTGACTTTGAGCTTGAGTTAGGCGTCGAATGACTTCAGGTTCTCACGGAACTTATTTGTCAAGCTTATTCCTCTCTAGTTATCAAAGTGGAATAGAGGAATGCAGTATAATTAAAGTAAAAAGTAGACTGGATGTGAAATGGTAATAGAAGTTACCAGTCATATCGTACATAATGTATGCTAGTGTGTGTGTAGTATCTGTTTAACGCTGACAGCTGGTGATCAAGCTAAGACATGGCACATGTTCGTGAATTCAGTCACTGATACTTTCGATCGTAAAGGGGACTGTGGATTATTTAACTTACAATAACAGGTGATAAGAAACAAAATAAATTCAAGAACCAGGCACTTATTCGCTCTTTTCGGAATCGAATACTGAGATTTTGTTATCCTGTTTATGTTACATTGAAACGTTTAGTCTTTTTTTCATGTATTGTTTCGATGTATTTAAATGTGAAACGGTAGATACATTTAAGACAAATTTATAGGATGAGAAAAATGAAACGAGATTGAATTCAGCTGCAAATTTTCAAATCCTAAATTTTTGGACTGTGAAACATAGTCAACCTAGGGAATTGAATGAGCAGATATAAAATCTGACATTACATTTACTGTTTGTCAGCATGACTAGTTGTAAACCGTCTACTCAGATCAGCAATTCTGTATTATCAAACTGACTCTATCTACGGGAAGGTAATTTTATCGATTAAGTGTCGACGGCTTTTGTAGTGTTCTTGAATTGACTTACCTGAGAAGACTGACTTATTTTTTTCACCATCCTAACCTCAGGTCAGGAACTAAGGTAAAGGTGATAAGTTGTGCTTTTTCGGTTGGTTAGCAATCTTTAGATTCACACGGTCTTTAGCAAACAACATATCTATCTACTGAATCATAGCTCTATGTTAAATGAATATAAATTTTTCTATTTTGAAAAAAATTATAGTTCATTCGAATTCACTCAAGTTGAAGACTAAATCGAAATACACTCAACAGCCACATGCATGTTCTTGAAGTAGACAATGAACCACACCTATCGTCTGAGTGTTAAGTATACTTCTTGGCTATCTAAACCGTTGTAGGTGTAGCTGGATTCGAACTGGTGACTCACTTGTTAAAGTTTGAGTACCTAGACTGATTAACTACAGCTTCACTTTCGCTCAACTAGTACTTTCTCACTGAAATACAGTTACAATTTCAGCTGACAATAGTCGCACCACAGTAGTCATGCATACAGACGACTACACCAAAAAGGTGGAACACTTATTCATGAACCGAAGTGTATATTAACCAATTGAGACAAATTCTATTCAAAATTTTGACCCTCACATCATCAAGGCCTTGAACAAACTCGTCAAAATATGATAAATTACAAAATAAGGACAATGACGGATGAAACATAATGGACCTGTTCTCCCACGTTTCTATATTAGATCGAAAACACACTAACTAAACATCCCACTACGACCAATTGTCTCACTTCCAGGGAGCCCAACAAAATTAAAACATCTGCTAGAATCATGCGACCTGTGTATCAACTCTTCGGCACAGTTTTTGGAAAAGATCAAGCATATACCTATTGACAACGTATAAGTGATGATATCTTTTGATACTATAGCTCTATACGCCTCAACTGGGCCGAAGCTGGCTATTGATACAATAACTTCTCCTCACCAGTGACATACACCTCTCGGAACCCATACAACTACAAAGTCCAAGTTTGATAGAATTAATTGATTTATACCCTACAACGTATTGTCAGTTCAACGGTAAACTCTACAAACGGACAAAGGGAACAACAATGGGATCGCCTATATAGGAACTAACTGCAGAAGCAGTAATGCAGAGATTGGAAACTGTAGTACTGCCGTTTATCAAACCAAAACATTGGATCCGATATTTAGATGATACGTTTGTCATTATTAAAAGAAACGAATTGAAAAACGCTCACATATAAATCAACAAAATTTTGGACGACAGCAAACTCGCAACTGAAGAGGAATCAAATAACAAACTTACCTTTTAAGGTGTTCTGATCACTAGGAACAGATTTAAGGAAATTGTAAACTGAAGGATACAGAAAACCAACTCATACGCATCAAATCCTCAACTATAATACCAGCAACCCAACAACACAAAATTAGTTGTATACAAGAATTTTTCAAAAGAACGAAGATACGTTGTAGTATGTCAACCTGGCGGAGATAAGAAGAAAACTGTTTGATGACTGCTATCCAAAAGAACGGCTATCTGTGCAACTTCATCGAAAGATGTTTACATAATTTGTTACCAACCAAGAAGCTGAAATCGAAAACTAACAAGCAGACTCTCCTACTATGCATGAAGAACGTCTCCGAGATCATGGCTAGATTACTGAAACCTTTGAAATTGATGTAGATCACAAGCACACAAGATCTCTTCAGTCTCTGTTATGCAGGTCGAAACATACAATAGCAAAGGAAGATGAACCAAACATTATCTACAAAATAAACTGCAGAAACTACGAAAAACACTACATCGAACAGAGTGGCCACCCTCTTCGTAGCCACCTACATGAACATCAACTAGCAGTGAAGCGTGGTGACATATCCTCACTCATATCAATGCATACGGACAACTGTGGATATGAATTTCACTAGGAAAATGTGAAAATCCTAGACAGGAAATACAAAGAATGCTAAAAATTTTTGGAAGCTTGTTATTCAGATCAGTCAACAACCAAGAGACATGTTGACATTGACCCAGTCTGTCAACCAGTAAGAGACGACTACAAGATCAAAGTTCACCTCAACAGGACGACCAATCAAAATAAACATGGAGACAATGCTAAGACCTTGGCGAAAACAACTAATCACCCACAAGAGTCATTAGGACAATCTACTAAACAACTTGTGGAGAAAACCTGAAGTTTATGCTGATGTTGTCTAGAATAACAATAAAAACTTCACGATTAAACAATCCAGCTCAAAGAATACAACACCGTCAAAATTATCCTCCTGAGTTACAAATGTCCTTCATTATCTCAAAATAAAGCTGGTGAAGTTTTTATACTTCCCCCACTAGTAATTAAAGCATATTGGTAGGACTTGGTCACTGTAAATATAACTTCACATCAATTTATTGATATGATTGACCACATATTGATGAAGTATCATTTACTGGATGACATTTCGGACTCAGTCAATGAACGAGAAGTTGTTTGATTATGGAAATGTAGTTTTAAGGTTTTGCAATCTTTTTCATTCTATAGATTATTTCATTCAGTGGATAATGAACAAACTTAGACTGACTCAGTAAATAGCAAATGCAAAATACTAGTGAAAACTTCTATGAAATTGAAAACTACCAATCAGTTGATCAACTTTAGATGAAATTCTTGATTTTTGAATCAGATTTGTTCGAAGTATACATAGTTGTTTATTGATTGGGATAGTGATCATTATACTTGTTATTGCATTGGAAATGTAGACAGGTGTCTATATGATACCTTACTGTAGTGTTGAAAGACATATAATTGAATGTTAATGAGAGTTCTCTTCTAATCAGCATGAAACTTGTGTTCAACTGATTTACTTCAACCTTACATGATGCACAATTAATAATTATTCTTTTTAGATCAAGCTACTTAAATCATCACTCTTGATCCATAACTGTTGTATATCAGAAGTAATTATCAAGTATAACAATTTCTTCTCCTATATTCGTTTCTTTTTCCGGAAGTTAACCCATTTGTAGTTACATTAAACAAGTCTAGAACTTAAAAAACCCGCCCTTTTATTCATGAAATACGCATGCTACTCTATGAACTAATTGTTATGCTAAGGATTTCAAGCTGAAAACTGAATCGCTTTAATGCTCATCATATCACATCTCGTTATTGTTTCACCCTCTCTTTCGACTAGTTTCTTCCTTATTTTTCTATCTTTCTTGTTGCTACCTTGTATGCTGATGTGCTGAGATGAAATGAAGCAGTTTAAACTGTTACGCAGCAATGCCAGGAGCCATCTTACAGGGTCTCTATCACAGATATCTTTGTATTTGGTGGAATCACTGTGTAAGCAATGATTAGCTCAGACGAAGGGTACTAGGAAAGACAGGCAAATCGATTGACGACACCTTGAACTTAAATCGACTGAGATGGGTTGATAATGCACTATGCATGCCGATTCACCGCGTACTTCGATGAGTCATGCTTGGGGAAGCTGAATTAGGTTGAAGAAGGCTTCAGGGTGGCCAGACCAAGACTTGACATCAGTCGATGAAGACTTTTACCGTTAGTCTGAGCCAAATGAGGAAATGTGAACTCCCTGGTTGGGAACCCCGAGAAGAAAAGAATCAGTGGTTGAGGACTCTTAGTGACATGGCTGAAAATCGGTCACACTGGCGTAGATGTATTCCTTGACATCTTCCAAACCTTGAATATTCGCACCAACCTTTATCTTCAGATTGTTTTTTCTCTCACACAACTTTATCGACTTTGATGTAACTTTTTTTTATCCACTCGTTGTTTGTATGTACTACTGTGCAGTGTGGCGACTTGAGCTGATGCACCTATGTACAAGGTAGTACGTTAATTCTGTCAGTCAGGCTCCATGTTGATATTACCTGACTGACTGTGAAACTTGCTAATGCACACATTATACTTCTGGAAATAAAGTAGATTGCCCATTTGATAATTAATGTACATAATTTATCATCTATTAAAGACTCAAAACACGTATTCCAACACAATATTATTTTGAACTTACCAGTTGGTTCTTCTGGTAACAAAACTTTTGGCAAAATCACTACATAAAGTTGTGTCTAATCTCTTATTCATAATAATAATTAGTCTCAGTGCTTCAATTCTTTATAAGTGACTGGAAACACTAAATCAAAGTCGGAATATTAAGCCACTTGTATTGCCCCTAATTTTAAAACTCCCTAATGTTATTCACGTTGAATCACTGATACAGTGGATTTGACACTCAACTTTCAGCAACTTAAAAGAGTGAGAAAAATGTAGGTAAGGTGATATTATGTGACTAAATACATTCTTCATAAGTGTAATCTATTTAATTACTAGGCTTCTTTTACCAAGTTGAAATTATTCAATCAACCACTAAAATTCAGTTGGAGCTACACTACTTGATTGTGTTGCATCCTCTGAGCAGGATAATTTACTCATGAAGCTTTCATTTTCTTTCTCACCAGCATCATCAGCGCTAACCTTAATATGAACTATTACTGTTTCGCGCCCTGATTATTAGCAGCAGCGAGCACTCATAACATCTCAGAGGATCTGCATACTCCGTGAAGATATTATCCTTTGAACCATTATTGTATATCATAATGACTGAAATCGTTATTCGAATCCAACTTATAGTATGACGTATGGTCCAGTGTTTAAAGTAGTCAGCCTGTGGACATCGGGGCACTGATTGTAATCTAGTTCGTTTATTTTGATCTGGCAGCCAGAGGATATCTCCCATTTTCACGTTTAATTCTCTGCCAGCTACACTAACGTATGCGTAAGTTATAAACCTGTAGGATGACCGAGGATACAACTTGTCTTTCCTGTTAAAATCTTATCATGCGGTTGCACTTCATAAAAGATCCGCTGAATAAAATGGGAAGGTTCTGGTTTCAAACTAGCGGTTCATAAGTTCTCGAGGATCCTGAGGAAATGAATGATAATATAAACTTATTCGATTGACTGTGGGAATGCAGTCTTTATGTCATTTTCGAGGTGAATCTTTGAGGCAACTTCTTTACCCGGACAGCTGAGTAGTATCATAGTTCTTACAAATTATGATACAGTATCCACTGTTCAATAATGCAATCACTACGAATTTTCGTTTTGTGCATATTTTGCCGTCATTGGTTATCATTCTGATTCTAATGAGAGTCATCTGTTTTCAGCTCACCCATGGTTATGCATTTATTCTATATCCGTCTGCATTCGTTATTTCAACATTTAGTCTTTGTTATGTACCTTTGATATTTTCACTTTATCTCTTAGAACTCGATTTTAGTTGTCTTACATTAACTCAAGCAAAACGTATGGAAGTAGAATTACAAGTGAAAATTATTGAATTAGAAACGTCACTAACAAATGAACGAAAACGTTTAGCTCAGTTGAGAAGAGATAACTATCAGTTATCGGCTGAAGTGGAGGTAAGCTTTACTGTATAACACTTAATGTTTATAAAACAATCAGATTTGAAATATGTCTATTCTAAATTGAAAGTAATCGTAGGTTTTTTGAGTAGACAAATGTTGCTCATACCAATGGACGTTATCAGTATCATCAGCTGATATCAAACAATTTTCATGAGTGGTGTATAGAAATGCGTTCAGCTCATAAGATCAATTTAAATGACACATTCGAAGCTAAGAAAAACCTTTAACGCTCTCTGTAACAGTGAGTTATTCATACTTATCGAACGTTGATTGCAGCTGTAGAATCTTACTTATTAGGCTATTGAGTCATGATAATCATCGTTTGTAATAAATTTTGTTCACCTTTCTGAAGGATAATGCTGACTTTTTAAGGTGACTTGCTTTATCGTTCTATTCAATGTAAAAGTCCATATGGAATTATCCTTTATCCTACTGAACTCTACCTCGATCGATCGAGCCAGAGATTTACTATTTGACTTAAAGTGTGTAGAAGATGCTGTCATTATAAAGGAAGACACTAGTTAGATAGTGAGTCTTCATGAATGTTTTGCATCTGTTTCTTATCCCATGTATGCAATTTATTGCTTCAGGAATAGTTTACGAAACACATTGTATCACAGTAAGGAGTGAATTGGATCTATGCGTTACCCACTTCGCCCACTTGAAAAGTTTCATTAACCCCTAGTAGTTGAGGAAACGTTCGACTGGATATACCATGAAAACACCACGTGAACAATGCAGAGGTTAAGTGTAGTACATTAAGCAATAGGATTGTCTCCTTATCACTTAAAATAACTATATTGATCCACCATTTACCCCTAATGCACTATGTTTGCTGCGATACGGCTAGGTAGGAAGATGGTTAAAAATGACCGGACCACATTACGGCACTATTACATGAAGTCTCAGACTCCTGGTGTTAGCTGTTTAGGGATATGCAATTTTCATAGTTGGCATCAACGAGGTAATCTCTAGGAAGTGACTTTTTAACTTTGCCATTGGTGATATTCTCGAGACAGCTTTGAAACAGATGTTTGCTGACTGTGGTGGACTGCTTCCGCAAGGAAGATTTTTCAACGCTGAGTATGCGGATGATTATGTCTTACCATGCAAAAATATAAAGACTACTCAAATCTCACTCGTTCAGATGATGGCTAGCTCCCTCAATTAGGATACGTGCTTTGCATCGTCCAAGTGCTAAGTTCTTTCATAAGATTAGAAGAAACCTTTGCGTGCACTCATCTTCAGTGATGAACATTTTGAAGTAGTCGGAAAGTTTGTGTGTGTACTGGAAGCGTGATTGATGAAATTGCTAACCATGCCAGCATAAACTAATTTGGGTCCCCTTCGTGACGTTGATGAAGATGAGTGTAGTTGACTGTAAAACTATTCAGCATGGTTGGTTATACCCCACGTTCATGAAACATGTTGCTGTAAGCTGAGGTTTTCAGATGACAATATCCGACCACCATTGTTTTGTTGGATTGCTAGCATCCACTGAAACCATGGTGTTAAATATGGTGTGCGGCGGGGTGTAGTAGGGGTACTCATTCACTGCATAGAGGTGTTCTGAATTACTGACTACAGTGGGTTACATCTGCACTACAAGTTTCTTCCCAGTAAAATCGATACCATTCACTGTTAGGTATTTATTTGACTTATTGGAAGAAGTAGAAAAGCAGTCAGTGTGATGTAATGCCATATAATGCAGGGTACTTTTGGAATAGCACCTGTTTTACCCAACAACTTTTTTGATAGGCTCCATTTCACACCAGTTCCAGGTCTGATTTTGGTACTGATTCACTTCCTGAGATTATGCAACTCAGTATCTTAGCAGGATAGAATATATGGATCAGATTCGAAGCCAGCAATCGTGCTGCAGATTTCCCGTTTCTTCCATTATCGAAAAGTTATATGAAAGCAATGAATGTTTCATTAAGTGTTTCCGAAGAAACTGCTTACCTTCCCGTTATTTTGTTTGTTTCATCTCATTTGTCCGTGTTCCTGGGGCAATCATTTGAAGTTTGCTTTAAAACAATAGATAAGGCGTCATAACCTGAAATAGGCAGCAGTGTCACAGTTGTATCCACACCTTATCTTACCTAAGTCATAATATCTTATATTCCCATCCATTTTATCTCTTCTCTTTTTTTGTTTCATTAAATTTTTACAATTATAGACGTTATTTTCATTTTCCTATCTTTTTTCGTATCTACTTGCTTATCAACTTATCTTGAGGTGAATGGTGACAACTTGAACCGATAAGCAACTCTGCCAAATCTAATATGTTCGTCTTATGAAAGAAAATGTGTTAAATGAAGAATAGTACTGCCAGCATATCCTAGAATACTTGCTACCTTCCACAAAAATAATTTTTGTATGAAAAAATATCTTACCGTGTGTATAATTTCCATATTAAACCACAAAACAAGGAGTCAACAGCGTAAAGATTTCCTTTTCGTCGATTTCATTTACTTGAGCTGTACAACCGTATTTAAAACCACGGGAAACGAATGACAGTCGATTACTAATCAATTGGATCAAGTGATTACTACTACGTTCATGAGTCAGATAAAAAGTTTCTAAAGTTTCTAAATTACTACTCTGGATATGGTAAAATTCATAAGTATATGTGATGTTTTTGAACACAAAGACCGTGTGGTTTGGAGTTGTGAATTGCCAGTAGTCACTGGTAAGTGACACAAAGGCTTCTGGAATAATAGGGAGGTTCTCTGCAAATTACTTTGAAGGAACTATTAGGAGTCTCCTATACGTCTGGAGATGATGTGTTCAAGAATAGAATGGTTGGATAAAATAGTTGCACAATATTCCAAAGTACTTTTAAGGACTTGATGCTGTGTGCACCCAATGTGTTGCTCCACTGAAACAAGTAAACTGATAGCCTTACTAATCTGAGTAGTAATTTCCCTTTCTTTGGAAACTTTTTATTCTACTCTTGAATATAGTAGTAATTGTTTGACTCTATTACCTAATAAAGGATTAACATTTATTTCCAATTACTGTAAATACAGTTGTACAGTTTTAGTACTGGAAATCATTGAGAAAGAAATTTCCTTCACTGTTACTTTGTTTTACGTGTGCTATTTCTTTCACTAAAAAAATTGTTTACGTATCTTTTTTTATGAATGTAAACGGTAGGCTGAAATGCTTGAATTCCAATAAGCATGGAAGGTGAATGAATGGTTGTTTTTGTAGAAAAAGTAAACTTATTACATCTGACTGTTTTTTCATGCAGTTCACGATAAATTAAAAATACTGTATGATATACTATGAAGTGATGAATAATAGTACTCAGTAGGACATGCCTGTTAAGCCATTGATTCACATTACGAATAAATGGTATCAGTTGGAAAATGAACAAAGCTATTGTAATACTTTCATTGAATAGATCGACGAAATGACGTTCATATTGAAACACTGATCCAATAGTCATTTGAAATGTGCACTATTCATAACCTGATGCCATACTACGTTTATTTATGCATGACGCCTGTCACAAGCATGCTTCTGTAGATCACAATGGGGTCAACCTTTAGCCAATTAAATGAATGTTGTATTTATGCTGTTTTCTTATCTAATAGCACGAATAACTTGTGTGTAAAGCTACTTTCATTTTGAAATGCCATCGTTTGAAGAGCTACCGAAAGTTCTTCAGCATTGATTATCTGCTTTGTCCCACTTTCGTTATGACACTTCTAAAAACTGCATGTAATAGCTCGGTGACAAGATAATTCTAGGAACAAGTTAGTATTCCCAATAGCTCTTTGAAATAAATTTCTAAAGCATCCTGGTTTTAAAGAGCTCTTAGATGCGTCGTTTGTACCATATCCTATCCATTTATATAAATGCATACTGAGCATGTGCTTGCATTCCCTAAATGTTGAAAATGATCGACTGTTTTGTTGAATTGTTTTCCTTACGGTTTGCTTTTTATTCCCATTATACCACAATCCAGTTAATTCAGTTTTATTCGTTTTTTTCTCCTCATTAACATTCTATTTGTGCAAAACTTCATTTGTCGGTCAAAAAAGGAGAAATCAACTACGTAGACCCAAAGATCCAATCAAATATGGTTTACCAGAGGTGCTGATCCATTCAAACTGATTGTAAATACTTCAGCGGTTTACTTTTCATCACTGTGCTTAGAAGTCAGTACTACTTCAATTATGTACTTACCTTCGTCTTTCATTATTTGTTAATTACCTTTTCTCTTGAAACAATATGGATATACATAAAGTTATGTATTTTATTCAACCTACGTTTCTCGATAATGATCTCCTGATTTGATGGCGATACAGATATTTCACTGACTTGATTATTTTCTCTCAAACACAAAGATAAACATTTCACTACAACTTTTCTCCCAACTATTCATGTTATTCACTAATTCTTCCATTTCTCAATCTCATCTTTTAAAGCCAAAATGAGTTATCTTGCCTTTCTATCTTATTTTCTCTCCATTTTCTGCGCTATTTACAATGCTTTCTGCTTTGACCTCTCTATAAGGATCATATGTGGTTGTTTTAACTCGCCCGGTTATTCATCACAATTATTTCATATTGATTTTTGTTTCCTTTTAACAATTCTTTTTATAATATTCGTTACTTGATTAATTATTTGGCGGATACAATCTGGCATAACTTTGCAGAAATGTGATTATATAACATTACTATTTAATAATTGTAACAAATATAACCTTTGCATATAAGCCCAACTTCCATGATTTGTACACAAGTACTAATCGCGAAATATATTCCTGTCAGTAAGACCGCGTGTTACTGTTACTGTAAAACTATGGAAAAAGATGTAATGAAAGGTTATCATTCACACAACGAATAAAAAGTAAGGAGGGTAAATCAAATAATGAGCTGATATTGCATCAACAGAGACGATTTTGACATATGTTACCCATGATACAAGACTACGTAACTCGTTGAGCACTAAGCTGGCAGATAGCATAAGGGTTAATAGACATAACACCAGTCCACAAAGTCTCAAGTGTATGAGGAAGCGTACATCATCTTGCGATGATCATCGCCATGCTAGTAATCAATCGTTGGTTACAATACCAACTGAAAAAGAGCGAGCGTGAAACAAAGGTAGAGGTAAATGACTAAAAAGAAGCGATTTAATTGATCGCCAAACATAAAGAGGAGTTTATACTAGACTTGTAGGATAGGTACATAAAAATGCAGAGCTCCAAAACTGTGAAACTTCACGAAGCGAAGACAGGAAGTGAATCGGAGTAGGATGAAATCACAATGAGTAGAAACAGCATAATAAGCAAAAATAAAAAAACGTGAATAAGATGTTCAAGGTGATGAAAAAATGCTTGCACTATCGCCATCCTGAAGAGTTCGGATGCTTTTTACCGAGTCCGCAATAATTGATTATTAAAGCAGTGATGATCACTGAGAGATGGTTTCGGCTTTCCATGAATTTAACAAAACAATGTTACGATAGGCGTAAGTTCCTGTAGCATACATCCCTTTCAATGGTAAAAACAAAACCTCAGGAAATTGTGATATTTGAGAGTAGAAAAATGTCTACTATCGACTCTAGGACTATCATGCTGGATATTAAAATTAGCTGCCAGGACTCCATAAACCTACATTTCTTCTTATTGGCATTCATCAGCAGAGCATAACTGCAAGCCTATAGAAACTGATCCCCTCGGTTTTTCGATAAGCTTTGAACAGTGCTGCAAACTGGACTGGACAGCTACCAATTGGTGTTTGTATCCCATTTCTACAGAGGGGTGACTCTCCTGGAAAGCTTAGTTATAAAGTTTTCAGCAGTGAGTGATACAAACTTGAATCATTGAGGGAACTCATCTGTCCATAGTTGCACACATGCCTTACTGATGGGCACCATCATCTATGAAATCTAGGTCCAAGGCTTCCTGGAGACTAGTCCCCAACTCCAAAGTAGTGCCTGCAATGTTCATCGCCTAACTAACTAACCATAATTCAAACTGAATCAACAGACTTTGGTTTTTACTAAGAACTAGGCAGTTGTCGATCCATTTGTTTACGGAATATGCATACTAAGATAATGTTTTATATCTAGCTTACAAGTGTGCAACCATAATACACCAACCGTGAGTTGAACCTCTTAGTAAATACTTGAAGTCCACTAAGAACTTGAATACAGAATGTCGATTTTATTCACTATGTCGTTTGTAAGATCAACTGTAGAAACAAGGATAGCGCTCAGTAATTATTATACCTAGGCATTCGTAATATTCCATATAATCTCGTGATTCATGCAAATAAGCATGCGGGTTATTGTGATGATGTAGAAAAGGGTTACCACTATTTTCGTTGACTTTAGTTGGGAGCTTAGGCGGAACTATGGTTCAGACAGCTGACTATCAACCTGTCATGAACCCAAAGCATAACTAAATAACATTACTGGCTCTTACACATTAGGTGCGAATCATTGCCTGGTGCACCAACATGTAGGTGATTGCTGAGTTCCATTTTGAAAAAAACTCGATAGAACCCCAGTGTTTAGAAAATCAAAAAATTTCGTCTGCAATTTTTTTCCTGTAAGGTATAGTTTGGTCAGCAGAATTACTTGAATTTTATTAAAAATAGATATAAAAAGTAGTATCATGCTTATCCTCCTTAAAAGAGAAAGAGGCGACTTACAGACTCCATGAATAACGTCAAACAATGGGGCAAGATATATTACCATACAAGCAAGTGTGACATTTATTTAACACTCAACCATAAGCCAACGCTAGCTAGTCCAACACTTGAAAGCTTGACAAATCTATAAATGAACTATCTAGCAAGCTGAAATAGACATTTTTTAATTCTGAAAATCTTGTGAACCTTGGGTAGGAGGAAGGATGGGTTAAGATGTCAAACCTACACAACTTTCTTAAAAAGAAAGGTGTCCCTTAACATGGATATGTTATGTGATAACAAGTGTCAAATATGGAAACCATAGGCTAATTAAAGGTAATTCAAAAACAATGACTTAAGGAGACAATGAGTACGTTTCATATAAGTACTTCAGAGTATAGCATATGGCAATCAGACGATTAGTGAAAACATTCACTGACCAGAAATACCAATGTTAACTAACAGAAGGGAACCATCGAATAGCTACTGTTACCCGAAATAACAGCTTTTTTCAAAAAAGTTCAACTTATATCTCATACCCCTTTCGAAAGCTAGCAGGGTGCAACTACTTTCCGGCAACATTGGGAAAAACATCTGAGGTACTATCATGCGAAAGTAGAACTCCAGCTTTTTGGTAACGAACAATAACTAGTAAACATTTACATGGCTAAAAACTCAGTATCTTCTAATTTCAGGAACGTGTATGGCATGGCCAGCTGCTCCAATCATTACTGCGTTAATTGCGATACTTTGGTTTTCGCCAATACCACAACCCAACTGTAATCACGTTAAAATCCTGCTGAAAATTGGTTTACATTTAAGCCATAACTCCTACAGTCAGACAAATCAGCATATAACCTCGCAATCTCAAGTTACCACACTTAACAGCAGTGTGAAAATAACAAGTGTATGAAAAAAGAGCGATATCAAAGCAGGCAAACGTATATGGGAGGAAAAGAAATTTAAAAATCAAGGTTAGTGACAATATTCAAGATTTAGAAGTAGCCAAAGAGTGAATACATTGTGACCGATTTTCAGACGTCATCAAACACTGATTCCTGTCTTCTTGAGGACCAAGTCAAACAGAGCACATAGCTCAGACCATCAGTCAGACTTCATAGACAGACGCCACATCCTGACCCCCCTGAACCCTCTTCCAACCTAGTCCAACTTCGGTTAGCACTGCATATCAAAGTAGACTGTAGCTGTATACACTTCAGCCAGTGAAGGTTCACAGCCTCACCAACCGACCTGCCTAGTACCCTTTCCACAATCTCGACATGGTTAATATCATGATTTCATCATCCTTTAGAGAAACGCTTCACCCGTGTTCGAAAACCACGAACTTCTTCACCTACTCCACTTTCAGCTAGCATGCCTCCACTGTGTAGCACGAAAAATTAAAATGCGGCGCAGTAATATGTGAGATGATGCAAGTTGGTCAATGCCAAACAGGTCCTCTTAATCTGATCCGAAATTTCGTCAACAACCAGCCCGTTTGGGCTGACGCAATTCGCCACATTAATAAAGTGGTTGACGCATTCTACCATTTCACTCCCTATCATTAAACTGGGACTAGTTGCAAACCAGTCCTGGAGTACCATCTTGCATTTGACAGTTGCGAAAAATACACAGAGTTCTGCTAAAGGCATTTACACGACTCTGGATTTTGTCACGCTCTTCACTCGACAGGACAACGTCGTCTTCGTACTTCAAGTCAACCAGATGACCTCCAGGTAGCAGACCAATCCCTGTTAAATCGAAAGTACCTAAGGCTATGTCATTTGTACATCTACAAGCAGATTAAATAACAGTGACATCGGGTGTACAACACTGACCGTCTATTCAAATAATTCTCCATGAGAACACACATGCTTGTAACTTGTAGCACACAGCTTTCATTAGTACGAGTATCTGGTTACCCCTGCAAAGTTCCACAGCTTGAAGACTTGATCGATGCATCCTCGTCTCGGCCTGAAAACTACCTGGTCTCGAGTTGGATATTCTCGAGCTCCAGTCAGGTATTAGATAACTACGGATCCAAGATTCCCAAACGCGATATTAGTCAAACTGACTCCCCATGGTTGGCACAAGACTTCTCTCCGATGGGATTAAATCCGATTCCAATAGGCCGCCTAATACCTCAGTAATTTCCTACCTCCTTCCTTAAAAGCTGGGGCCAAACCGCCAGGTCCTACTGCTTCACATCGTTTCAGGTTTGGAACAACCTTCTCAACTTCGAGGGGAGTTGCTAGAGGATCGACATCTACGTCCCATTCAGGTTCGGGCTGGATACTGGGCCGCTGAGGCGTTGAGGTGGTCCAGTTGAATTTCGTTACAAGTTATTCGGCTCAAAGCTCTAGCCATTTGTCCTGAGGCCATGTTTCAGGACCAAACGCTTTTAAGATTCGGTCAGGGAAAAATCAGATCTAACCACAAGACTGCCCGTGGAAATGAACTTATCACTGAAACGTAAAATCGAGATAAGTCCGGTTGGACGATCTTCAGTTCGAGTAAAACAAGTGGTACTCTGTTATCAGCCTGAGCAGCGAATCCTCACTGCCACCCTAAAATATTGATGCAATGTACTGCTTCGTCGTTCTACATTTTTCAACCACCTTTCTAGCTTCCGTAAAAACTGAGATCCACGTCATTCCATTTGCAGCTGAACGGTTGGGCAACTGAAGGGTAGCCATAAGCCAGTTTAGCAGTTTCGCTCGTATTTAGAAACACGTATTTTTAAAGAGTGTAATAACACATCACTTTCGAGGCGCCAATCACTTCGGAGGATAGATCGTTGCCAAGTAATCTAACATCAATGGCCTTACAATCTCACCACCGCATATAAGCGTTATGAACATTCTTAGTCTATTTATAGGTTATGATTTTTAGTCTCTCGTGATCGGAGTCAGCTGAAGCACATCTTCACGCTCCCAGGCTATAAGTGCCATACAACGTTTGGGTCAGACAGCTTATCCCGGCTCTTTTTAAGGATTTAAGTGAGACCGCAGTCACTGAACCAACTAAATTGTTCAAAGGTATGGAACGAGACTACTGCTGAACCCACTTTTTAAAACGCTTACATTACGTGTTTTACAATCATGTCTGCTACCAGCAGTGTCTAAAATAATGGCTGCTGTCATAGTTTGCAGGCACTGTAAAACATAAAAAACTGATCCATAAGCAGCAGGCCAAGTTCCCAGCACACCATGATCGCATTGATTACGTGTCGACTCAATGTCAAATCCTCGAACATCGTCATACACATCACGACTAAACAAGTGTTATTTCTTTGATATCATAGGCTTGCCTTTGATTCGCTGGACATGATTGTGCTCTGTAATTTAATGGGATAATCTCCTAGCGTTTGTTAACACTCTTAAAGACCAATACATCCCAAATAAATTGACTACACATAACTACCTTTCTGCATAGTCCCAAATTAGTCGGGTCAAGCAGGGCCATCTGATGTCACCATTGCTTCTCAAGACTTCTACCAGTTCTCGAGATAGTTCTGAACAAAGTATGTAGTGATGGTGTAAACCTGATATCAGAGAATAGACTTAGAAGGATGATATTGTTTTTCCTTGCGACGGCATACAGACTACCCGAATCTCACTCAATGAGTTAGTGGTTTAGTCCTAAGAGTAAAACAAAGGGGAAATATAATTGTCCTCAAACGCCCCAAATAAGTGTTTTCCGTTAGCGTAATCAAGCAGTTACTATGTCCAATTATGGTTCAGGCCACAGTACAGTCAGTCCTTTATATAGCATGCGCCTCAGACAGCAAAGCTGAAAAACCAGGTCACGGTAATAGCTGTCGACCAAAACACTGTCAATAGGAAGAAAATGCAGCTCCAAAATATGTTCAAACACTGTTAGTGGGTAATCTACTTATCAATAAATCTCACCCTCCTGAAGCGAACCTCAACACAATATCCCTAGGGAAACTCACTGAGATGAAAGGTTTTCCACTACTGTACCAAGTAACCAACCAAGCTTCCATTTTCACTCTCATTTGTATGGAAAACTATTTGAACGACGCAGAACTCATATTAATCCAGGTATCACAGTTATACTATCATCAGAAGATTTAACGATGAGACAAGACTAAAGACTATTTTGCAAAGTATATCACTGTAAATAATATATACAAAGTTTGAAAGGTTAGAATATCTATTCCTTACGATCCCTCTTCCGATGGGTAGTATCTCGGTTACTGACATCTGCTGATGATGTACCCTCACCAGGACGCTTTTCTGCCTTTTTGACTTTTGACAAGAACTTGCTAAGATTGAAAGGATCCTCTTCATCTCGTTCGAACTGAACTGGTCCATCCAGACGACGAGAATGATCAGTCCCAGAAAATTCACGATCAGGAACAAAACGCTTGGTTTTCTTAAGTGCATCAAGGTCCGTACCATAGGCATCACTATCTTTCTGACGCGGACGGTATATGTGAGTACCAAGTTCTGAATCGCCTCTCCATGGTTTATCATAAATGTTATACAGGTCATCCTCACCTACAAGATGCAAATGAATAAAATCAACACTTACCTCCTGCAAAGCCTGAGTCCAAACCTCTAGACTGGTTGAAAAGTCTCTGATCAAATTGATTTTCACTTGCCGAATTGAATCGAGGATTAGGAAGCCCAAGAGCGATTTGTTCACTTATATCTCGGTCTTTGTCTTTTTCAACTTTAAGTTTGGTTTCCGTATTAGAACGAGCTAGATTCCGTTCTCGAACACGGTCTCTTGCACGATCACGTCTTAATTCTTCACGATCCGGTAGTCCAGGATCGGCATCTACACCGTCCACTGCACCAGGGCGACGAAGACCTGCTCGAGATTCGCGGGCCTGCTGAGCAATTCGTTGGAGCTGTTCCTCTTTTCGTTCCTTCTCTTTCTGGGCAACTTTCCTTTCGATTTGGGCTCTCATTTCTACGGCTTCACGAGCTTTCCTATCAGCTGTGTAAAGTGCCTCCGCCAGCTTTGCAAAATTTTCATTAATATGAACTGTCTGAAGACCACGCCCATCTGCAGCGACTCGTTTATCTAACGGTATAGTATATCCTCGGGGATTCTTCCAATTGGAAATGCACGGAGGAATCTTCCAGTCTTGTTGCTCCTTAACTGTGACCTTCCTCGCTGGTGAGTGCATCAATGGTGGTGGAGGAGAAGGAGGTCCGCGAGGAATTTTTTGATTGATTCTAGAAATAACAAATTTCAGATAACCATAGTTACTTGAATTTAGGAGGTTCCATAGGATCCTTCTGCATCTCCACCATCCTAACGAGGCGCTGTTTAGCCCCACTATTGAAAGCAGCACCCTGTTGCGAAGGCGTGTAACGAATGTATTCAGCGGGATTCGTTTTCTCAGCCCGACGAACAGGTGCAGCAGCAGCAACCTTCAGTTCAACTAGCGACTCTAAAGCCCTGCGTGTTTTTTCTGTTGTCTAACAAAAAGAGCATTGAACAATATGAAAACATACCTCTTCAATCGCTTCCTGACTGGGTTTGCTTAACTCAGGATCGTCGTCATCGATTGACTTAGGTAGCAAATCCGAAAATTTTGAGTAGATGATTCGATCTTTACTATGTCCCTGGCGAATTAGTTCATCGTATCTAATCCTTCCATCTTTATCAGTTTTCATAACCAAGGCATTTGATACATTTTTTTCTTGTCCCATCCCAAGGGGATATTGCGGAACATGTATTTCTGGGAATGCTCCTCCATCCAGAAAATCTTCTTGACTGCGTGGTACCCAATTTTTCCGGTGTCCATAGGGTGGGATAGTTGACTTGGCGACAAGTACTCTTGAACCTACATTTAAATTCAGAGCAGTCCCATAGTCATCTGAGCCTTTCTGAATTGGAGCTGGTAGCTGTCTAAAAAGACAATGAATTAGGATGTGGAGAATACTACGGAAATCCTACAGTTGTGAGATCCCAATATGTTAAACTGACAACCAACCTAGTAAACACTTCCAGAATTTACCGGGTGACCTTTTGCGAGTCCGTTGCATTTCGCAGACATAAAAGCATTCACTCATGTACTGCCTGACAAAATTACCTAAATTGACAAAACCTGCAACGAAAACCTTTGAAACCTACATGAAAGATACAAAACGAGCGCTGCATCCGGCTACAGCACTAGTAGTGCTTGCAGTTCCTCACCCAAGCCGCAAAATAGCACGTTCCCGTAGCAGTTAAAGTACTGTGCGAACAGTGAAATCATGAATGCTATACTTACAGGCAGCAAAGCTTTGTTGGCATTTAAGGTATACTGTTCTCCATGCTTGATGTAAAGAATTTCACTTAGCATGCGCAGCTATTTACCTTGAACGGAGCGCATTCTACTGACGGTCAAAATAGCTCTTTGCCACTCAGAGAATCAAGAGAAAACTACTCTGATTATAGATAAACAGTGAAACTATAGACGTGAGTGGTATATGAGAAACCACACTGGGATCTCCTAATGACACTTCAACTCAACCCTTGAAATGAGAGGATAAAACAGAAACCGCTTTACCATTCTTGTTTATTATGTGTGAAGACCTATCACATACCCTAGCTACCCTACGGGAATAAGGGTCAACATCTTTTATGTTTTTTGGAAGATGGAGACTAATGAGCCTTATCACAACTACGATCACCTAAAACGCAACCGTGATATGGTTTTATTAAAGCTAGTTAGACGAATCAAGCAGAAGGACATGTGCAGAACAAGTAAGGACCACCAGACGTGAGCTGACAAACTTCGTACTGAACTGTAGGAAAGCCGTACGGACTTGCAGTTTAAAACTACTGCAAATAACGTCTTGACAATGGTTCCTTCCCAAGACGCAAACTGCCATCAAGCCACATCTAATAAGTTCTTTTGCAATGAACACTTGATACGACCTGAGTATCTAGCAGTTTCTAAACTTAGGTAATGCAAGGGATAAGTCAAACTGAAAAACACTGCTAGCTCAGATAGGTGTCGTCGAATATCGTTCATGATATTAGATATTACGATTCTAATTCTTGGTTAGGATAAGCACCTCATTCAGAAATCAATGCTCTTGGGGTTACCTTGTGACCAACCTGGGGCTTTCGCTTACATCCGCAGCGAGTACCACACATAACCCTAATAGTTTTTTCTCGAACTACAGGCTTATTTGCAAGTGTATGCACTTGTCCTCCTGGAACGCGTACAACGATCCGCAGAAAAGTGAGTTAACTAGGTTGCAAACTGCCTGTATCACCCATTGAACTCACTTGCAGTCCCACAGTAGAAACAGGCTGCACCATTTCCTTTACAATATATAGGTAGACTTTTCAAGAACGAGATAAGAAACATCTTTATCTCATACCAAGATTGTTTCCTCACTACACAGAATCCAAAGAACGATGCCAGGCAGCATTTTCGTGGGGCGAACGAGAAAGCATAGTGTAAATTACAATGAAAACTTTAGGGAAAAGGTGCTATTTTGCAACATTTCCCAGAGTTTTTTTGAACTGCCCTTTGTTCTGATAATGTCCCCACGTTCCCGTGAAAATGACCGGAGGTTGTTCGCTACTCCTAATACAAGGACATTCACACAGTACTTTTGAGTTTGGACAATCCTAGCAGCTTTATCTATGAACAGTGGAGTCCAACACGTCTTTCGATCGATTTTCAAGCATCTTTTCGTACCCTAATTCATACGACTTCAGTCATCTGGCGCAGATACGATAATGTACTCCATGGTTAGTGACTTTTCTTAAAGCAAGGATAGTATTTGATTTTCATACTTTTGCTGTGTAAGACTCGTTAGAAATTTATTGTATCATGTGAATTCAGTATACGAAACACAACTGACCCGAGCAATGACATTGCAATCGAACGAACCGTTTAATGAGCGCCAGAGCAATAAAACAAGAACAAGAACAACGTTCCAATTCCAATAGAAACACTGTGATGTAACTATATACAAAGATATCAGATTATGTTATGCGAATACATAATCGGCAGTGTGGTGAGGAAAATATTTTTTTGGTACTTTTTCAAATTTCAGAATGTGCTTCAAATAGTTTTGGACGGATAAGAAGCTTTGACTGAACTTGTTTCGATACCTAGAACCAATAGTTATTCGTTTCAGTAACCTAGGCACATAGTTACTGAAAAGAAAATTGCCTGGCTGGTCGAAATAAAAAGGATGAGCTTATTAGTGACTTGATCTGTTACCTGAAGCTGAGGCTCCAGGAGTTCATTGGGCCTGTACTTGAAATAACCTGGTGATAAAACTTCTGTACCCTCCATAAGGAAAGTGACTCAAGCTATAGGGAATAAAATTTCCGGCTTGATGTCTCATGTTTTTACTTCTGGGTATCCCTCCTCCTCCTGGGACTCCAATTAGAGTTCAGTCTATGCAAAATGTTCATGCAGGTGAAATTTTATGAATTTATAGCGTCACACACTCCCCCAGAATCAATAGCCTAGGGTTTGACGAGATTCAACATTGTTGCTGACCTTGATAGTTTAACTGGACTCGCTAAGCTGAAGGCAGCAGGTCAAGCATCCTCGCCATTTGGCACGCTGTCGTGTTACGTTGCACTGCTCGTACTCGACTCCCTAGCCAGTTAGCTGGAACGCATCAGTACTTTGGCACAACCATCCAAATATGCTATTCCATCCGACTACGCTATCGTGTTCCTCCTTGATCTCGTATTCGTGGGTATATAACAAGTCCGAATAACTAGTGATTGGTCTTTGCGTCTGTCAAGTTCGCACCAGGACAAATCCTAAATTGGTGAGCCCGACGTGATTACATATCCCGACCAACAACAAATACTGAATTGGTGAGCCTATTCCATTTTATATTCGTATATTTTTTTCATTTCAATAACATTTATATATCCATTTGCTACACTTTCTCATGTCCGACCACACTCCCAAGCTTATTCGTACTAAGCCGACTACGAACACCATCCAACTCGTGCCATATTGGACAGACAATGCGGAAATATGGTTCCTGTGTACCGAGGCCGATTTTCGAGAACAGGGTGTCTCAGATCCTTACTCTCGATTTCTTGCCGTCATACGTTCACTACCGCGGAAATTAAAGAAGCATGTTACGGCACACATGTTTAATCCTGAAGTAAGTGATCCTTATGCACTTCTCAAGGCCGCACTCTTGAAGAAAAGCGATCTGACAGATCGCCAGCGTCTAGACGAATTACTTCGTAACATCGAGTTAGGCAGCCACTCAGCTACTGAAGTCCTCTCACACGTGCGAGAAGTAATCGGCGCACGAACATTCGACGATGGCACTTTCCGAGAACTATTCCTCTCAAAACTACCACAATCGGTGCAGACCATGTTAGTGACACTGCAGTCAGTCCCACTCAATGACCTGGCAGCCTCGGCAGATAAAATACTGGAGATTTCTAGCAGACCCGTCTCCAACGTATATTCTGTCTGCGGCAAACCAGAGAGCCGGGATTCAGAGGTGACAAAGCTGTGCAACTCTGTGAAATAGTTGCTACGATCTCGAAGTCCTAGTTCACGTAGAACTCCACAGAAACGCGTCTCAGCGCATCGCAGCAACTTGCGTGGTTGCCCCATAACTAAACCTAACAGGGTGGAAAACCCTGAATGGTGCTGGTTTCATAATACTTACGGAGACGAAACCAGAAAACGTCGGAAACCACGCCGTTTTAACAAAGACACATACTCGGGGAACGGTCACGCCGGCACGTGTTCACGACAACCGTAGCCGGTGGAAACAGCAGTTTGCTCTACGTCACGGACATTAAAAAGGAAGTTCGCTACCTCGTCGACACCGGCGCAGAAGTTAGCGTTCTTTCCGCAACGACGAAGGAGCGTCATAATGACCCATCCTTCAGTCTCTAAGCAGCCAACAGCAAGGTAACCGCGACATTTGGGAGAGAGTATGCCTACCTCAACTTATGTTGCGTAAACCTATCCACTGGGTTTTGCTCCTGGCTGACGTTTCTATGCCCATCGTTGGCATAGATTTGCTGAACCATTACGATCTACCCATAGATGCTCGCCGTCGACGACTGATAGATAACAACACAAAATTATCTATTGGCGGCACCACCTATGTGGGTCCGAGTCTAACCCTCGTTAGAACCAAACAATCAGGGGACGCGTCCTACGAGGCAGTTTCGGAGAAATATCCGGAGTTGCGACAACCGAAGTGCACTCTTCCGTGCATAACCAGCAGTGTTATGCATCATGTCACAACCGCAGGTCCACCTATGGCACCCAAAGCGCGCATTCTAGCCCCTGATAAGCTCAAAATGGCGAAAAGCGAATTCGATCACATTATCGAATTGGGCATTATCAAGCCGTCAAACAGTCCTTGAGCATCACCATCGCACATGGTTCCCAAAAAGGATAGCAACGACTGGCGTCCAACCGGTTACTACCGAAGGCTTGACGCCAAAACAACACCGGTGGATAGCCCAATTATCGAAATTCTTGACGATGTGCCTGGTAATGCACAGTTACAACAACCATCGGCGCAACAGAAAACACGATCAGGTTGAACCGTCAGGTTCCCGGAGCACTTGAAGCTGTATTCAACTTGGTGATGTGAAATAAGATGTGCCAACCATATTTTTTTCAGTTCAATTTTTTTCCGAGGCACCATTTTTCTTATTTACCAGCAATGCGAAACTCCTCGTACATTTTGCCTTTTTATGTCAAGTTTTTATCACCATGTAATGAAAATTTTTTTAAAATCGGTGAAAATAAGCGTAAACTTTATTTTCGATATATTTATAAATTCATAATTCCCATTTTTACAAGGCTTTTTCATGGTATTAAAGACCTTCATTTATATTCCAGGTGCAACGAGCACTGGACGAAATGTCAAAGAAAACTGAGGACTGCGGTCAACATACGACTCGATTTATTGTATTTTATTTTTTAATTGCCACCACACCCTAGAATAGGTTCAGACAACCAGGGGCCACTTCACGCAATGAGCCCATCGGAGGAGTGTTACCAGTGGAGAAGCCACTGGGTTTTTTCTTCCGGCTGGTATCGTCTTGGGGTCCCCAAGAACCCACTGGGAGGGAGTGATCTGTAGCGTCACACACTCCCCCAGAATCAATAGCCTAGGGTTTGACGAGATTCAACATTGTTGCTGACCTTGATAGTTTAACTGGACTCGCTAAGCTGAAGGCAGCAGGTCAAGCATCCTCGCCATTTGGCACGCTGTCGTGTTACGTTGCACTGCTCGTACTCGACTCCCTAGCCAGTTAGCTGGAACGCATCAGTACTTTGGCACAACCATCCAAATATGCTATTCCATCCGACTACGCTATCGTGTTCCTCCTTGATCTCGTATTCGTGGGTATATAACAAGTCCGAATAACTAGTGATTGGTCTTTGCGTCTGTCAAGTTCGCACCAGGACAAATCCTAAATTGGTGAGCCCGACGTGATTACATATCCCGACCAACAACAAATACTGAATTGGTGAGCCTATTCCATTTTATATTCGTATATTTTTTTCATTTCAATAACATTTATATATCCATTTGCTACACTTTCTCATGTCCGACCACACTCCCAAGCTTATTCGTACTAAGCCGACTACGAACACCATCCAACTCGTGCCATATTGGACAGACAATGCGGAAATATGGTTCCTGTGTACCGAGGCCGATTTTCGAGAACAGGGTGTCTCAGATCCTTACTCTCGATTTCTTGCCGTCATACGTTCACTACCGCGGAAATTAAAGAAGCATGTTACGGCACACATGTTTAATCCTGAAGTAAGTGATCCTTATGCACTTCTCAAGGCCGCACTCTTGAAGAAAAGCGATCTGACAGATCGCCAGCGTCTAGACGAATTACTTCGTAACATCGAGTTAGGCAGCCACTCAGCTACTGAAGTCCTCTCACACGTGCGAGAAGTAATCGGCGCACGAACATTCGACGATGGCACTTTCCGAGAACTATTCCTCTCAAAACTACCACAATCGGTGCAGACCATGTTAGTGACACTGCAGTCAGTCCCACTCAATGACCTGGCAGCCTCGGCAGATAAAATACTGGAGATTTCTAGCAGACCCGTCTCCAACGTATATTCTGTCTGCGGCAAACCAGAGAGCCGGGATTCAGAGGTGACAAAGCTGTGCAACTCTGTGAAATAGTTGCTACGATCTCGAAGTCCTAGTTCACGTAGAACTCCACAGAAACGCGTCTCAGCGCATCGCAGCAACTTGCGTGGTTGCCCCATAACTAAACCTAACAGGGTGGAAAACCCTGAATGGTGCTGGTTTCATAATACTTACGGAGACGAAACCAGAAAACGTCGGAAACCACGCCGTTTTAACAAAGACACATACTCGGGGAACGGTCACGCCGGCACGTGTTCACGACAACCGTAGCCGGTGGAAACAGCAGTTTGCTCTACGTCACGGACATTAAAAAGGAAGTTCGCTACCTCGTCGACACCGGCGCAGAAGTTAGCGTTCTTTCCGCAACGACGAAGGAGCGTCATAATGACCCATCCTTCAGTCTCTAAGCAGCCAACAGCAAGGTAACCGCGACATTTGGGAGAGAGTATGCCTACCTCAACTTATGTTGCGTAAACCTATCCACTGGGTTTTGCTCCTGGCTGACGTTTCTATGCCCATCGTTGGCATAGATTTGCTGAACCATTACGATCTACCCATAGATGCTCGCCGTCGACGACTGATAGATAACAACACAAAATTATCTATTGGCGGCACCACCTATGTGGGTCCGAGTCTAACCCTCGTTAGAACCAAACAATCAGGGGACGCGTCCTACGAGGCAGTTTCGGAGAAATATCCGGAGTTGCGACAACCGAAGTGCACTCTTCCGTGCATAACCAGCAGTGTTATGCATCATGTCACAACCGCAG